CACCACCACCACCACCACCACCACCTCAACCCTGGTTAAGATGCATAACTCTCTAACCCAAGGGGGTATTTCTTGGCCGACGCATATTCCCCAGATGCGAGGGTAGACCACGATCTAAGTAAGGAGCAGCAGCCAGAGCCAATCCAGAATAAGATATTTAAAGAACCACTCATTTCCTTCCATGGTTGACGTCGGACTGATAGTGTCATGTGCGGCTGGTTTAGGAAAGGTACAAGGGAACCCAATGTCACTTTGCTACGTTACAACAACGCTTCTGTGTCTTTTTTTTTTTGTTTTTTTTTTTTTTCCCTGGGGTTCTCGCAAGTTACATACCGTCAGGAAATTTGAGATCGGATTACCCGCGTGGACGCGCTGGACGCGAGATCACGTGGTACTTAATGTGGGGATGACTCAGCGAGGATGTATGTAAATAACTAACTAGTTAATTAATTAATGCACAATAATTGTGCAAAGTCTCAGCTTCTTCTATGAACTACAAGTATTGTCTGTTTCTATGCTGAACTAATGAGCCTGCTGGTTCAGGTGGGTGGGGATGTTCCACGGATCATAATCCATGTGCACGAAGGCGCGGTCGACCGTCGGGACACTCTCGATCATGTACTGCAGGCTCTCGCCGATGTCGTGTGCATCGCGCAGCCGGGTCTTCCCTTCCAGGATGATGTCTACTTCGACATTCAAGAGGTCTCCGGCATAATATGCCCTCAGGTTCTGGATCTTGAGGATGGCTTTCGAGAACCGCATGGTCATGTAAAGTAGAACACTCTGGTCGATGGGAGATGCAGCCGCTCCTGTGAGATGGCGAATGTGCTCGCCTGCAGTTCCGCCCCAGTTCCATATGATGTAGACTGAGAGGAGGAGACCGCCTAGGGGATCAACCCACCATAATTTGGTGAAGGATCCGACTGGAGGAGCAAAGTTTAGTTCGTATTTCTCCTATCTTGGGAGGGGCGGGGCGGGAATTGGCAAAAGGGTTGCACTTACTCAGAGGGAAGAGAATACTGAAGAGGTTGAAAACCACGTCCGTTTCAGCATCTTGTGCCAGGGCCTGGACACTCGAGTTTTTGATTAACCGACACCAGAACCAGCATGCAAGTTTCACTACTACGGTGCTGGCCATCACCGCAATCGAAGGTATTGTTAGGTTAACTAAGGTTGTATCGTCGGAGATCAGCCGAGTGAAGGATGTGATGGCCACCTGGACAAAGGAGGTCATCATCACAACGGCGAAGACCAACACGCTTAGGGGCTCCAGTCGACGCCTGCTGATAGGATATTGATAGCGGTCGTCCTTTTGAATGAGAGTCGTTGTCACCCAGACAATGGCAGTACTCAGAAAGTCCAATGCACCGTCCACCAAACTGGCAAGAACTGAAAGGGAGTTTGTCATGGACATGACGACTATTTTCGCTACTAGCAAGACCACGTTGGCGATGAAGTTCACGTAGATGGCAATGGTAACAATGCGGGCTCCGCTATCCACGAAGTCGTCGTCTTTCGGCCCGGCATCTGATAGGGACGGAGCACTTTCGTTTCCGTCCTGAGGTAAAAGTGGCGTGCTCTCATCTGGGATCCGATAGAGGTTGCGCGGAGTCCGTTTAATTCGGTCTTGCTTTTGTGGTGGCTCGCCGTTGCCATCGGCAGCAGTAGCCAGGCTGTTGTCAGGTATGTGGTCGGTTCCGGAATTCTCGGAGTTTATCTCTGGTATAACATCTTCCGTTTGGTGATAATCCCCGATGAGGCGGTGCGGCAATGATGAGTCAAGTAGCCGGTCAATGTATACGTATTGTGCTATGAGATCATTGTTCCGCTCATAGTATTCACGTCTGATAACGGATGTTAGGTTAGTGTCTCAATTGAGAGAAAGGAATTACCCACAGCTTTTTTCCCATGCCTTTTAACGAGTCAGGACCTCTATAGTACAATTGCCTAGAGACCGTGTTTTCATTAGCTATACTGTCCCTCCAAGCATCGCCTGCAAAAGCAGGCATGTTCATGGACCATGATCAACGACATACCAATTATAGACGGACTTGACATCCCCAATTAATTTCTTAGCCCGTTCCCATGGTGGAAGTTCATCATGCCGAAAACTATCATCCCAAGGTTCAGGGCTCTGGGTGGAGAAAGAACGCCTGCGAATGAGACTTGCTAAACGTTGACCGCGGGTCGACAGGATCTCGCCCTCGGGCTCCAGACTTGGTCTTCTAGGGCGAATGGAATGATAAGAGCTTGAAAGTGCAGGGGATGATGGAGGAGAACTCTGTGGCATAGTGTCGGAACGACTAATCCATGCCATTGTGTGGTTTGATTAGGTGTGGGTGAAGTTGGATGATGAGCAGTAACAAACGAAAAAAAAAATGAGACCAGGGTGGATTTACTGATGTACTACATCATAGCGTACTGCTAGTATTAAGTTTCGTCGGTCTGCGATCGGAACATTCCATGGGATTTATCGACTACGTACTAGACTATCAACACTACACGGAATGGCCACACTAGCTTAATACAGAATCTGGAAAGGAAATTTTTCTTAACCCAGAGAGAATTTTTGCTCGGTAAATAGCTATGGGGGTGGCGGAGCACTTGGCAGACCACTTGGCAGATCTTCAATCATCAGATAATCAGATAATCAGATAAGACGGAGAGAAAAAAAATTTTTAAAATAGAAGAATAAAGGAAACCAAAACAAAACAGGACCGAAAGAGTTGCTCGATCTGTGAATTCTTTTCATTATATGATTTCAGAAACTAGTACTTACTACATGGCTTCTATATACTTCACACCAAACATTAAGCAGGATTGCAATGCTGTGCATATTGCCCTGATGAGCAAGGAGAAAACCTAGCCCCTAAAGCCTTCAAGGTCCCCAGTTCCGCCAAGGATACTTTCTCTCAAGCTTGTCCATCCATCACGGCCCCAGAACTCCTTAATCAGGCTCTCCGCCCTAATGGAAGGACCAACCTGACTGAGATCCCGCACCTCATTCTCCGGGGCTTGAGGAATACTGCTATTCAAGGGAAAAGCCGTGCGCAAAATATCCACGATATCCGTCCAGTTATACGGAGTTGCGAAAGCGAAAAGGCGTTCTGATTTCACCCTTCCGTCAAGAACAGCAGCAACGTGTAGACGGGCTGCGTCTTCGACGTCGACGAACCATTCTATGAACCTGTCCTCAGCCAATGCTTCAAATGGAAGATGAAACCCAACTCACGTGGTGGAACATAGTCGATACCGGCCTGGTTCCCAGATAAGAGGTTACGGACGAGAGCCATGCTGGATCCGCCTATCTCGGGATGTAGTATTTTGCCAAACTATAAAAGGCTATGGGTCAATCAAAAGTGCAATAAGCCTTGGGCTGAGCTTACAATCGTTCCCGGAAGGACGGTGTTAAAATCAAAGCCAGGGTTGTTCTGCTTAACCCACTTCCAGGCCTCTCGTTCTGATTCTGTCTTGGAGGCAGCGTAAACGAGATATGGTTTCTGGGCTACAGGAACACTGGGATCCTTCGCGCTTCTTACAGCACCGTCATTCCATGTACCTGGAGACTTTAGATACTAATGGCGTGTTAGGCTATTGACAACTTACTGGAGTCGATATTAATACCAGGCTGACCAGGCTGCGGGAGCAAAGCGGCAGAAAGTGAAGAAGTCAGAATGACTTGAGTCACGCTATTGTGCCTAGCTGCTACTTCAAGAACACTCAGGGTCGAGGCGACGGATTTCGATATAATTTCGGGGTCGGGCCTCAGAGAGACATCTGATGCCTGGAGTTCAATCAGCACTGATAGACTTCAACCTCAAGGGAGTGGTGGTACCACATGCACGACACCTGCAACACCATCCAGCAATCTATCCAGCTCATCCTCGTTCCCCAGATCGGGTAGCAGAGCTGACTCGAAATGACCAGCACCGTACCTGGTGGTAAAGTAGTTATCTAGCCAAGGTTTCCTGGATCGAACGGTTCCGCGTACTCTGTACCCACGCTTGAGAAATTGATCAATGATATGGGAGGCTATGAAGCCATTTGCACCAGTCACGAGAATGAGGGACTCGGCGGGGATGGTAACGTTGGCCTGGGGCATAGTAGTGGTTCGTATATATTATCACTCTAGGATGTGTGGTTGTATACGATGATACGCAACGGAAAGTATCGATATTTCCGACAGTGCAGGAGTTTAGTTGGGGCCTCATCGATCGGTTTACTCAGACCTGGTATTTAGTGCTGGTTTCCTATTCCGGACATGAAGAGCATGACTAATTCGGGATTGAACATGGCCGAGCTTATTCATTCAAACCATCATATCGTAGCCCTACTTTTACTACTTACACACAATCTCTCTGACTAACTTAACTATTGGATGATACGCTTATGGGAGGGAGAGAAATCAAAATGGTATTTGGTCGAGACAGAGATCCACCGGGCGTATATACTTATTCGAGGAGCAATACTATGTAAAACAAAACACCAAATAAGTTAATATATATTACAGAACTATAACCTTGTCTATGAGCATTCTATTATATCCGGCGTCTCTTCTGGCCCCTCGATCGACTCTAGATACCTTCTCATATTGACATCGATACGGCCTGCAAAAGTTGCGAAATGACATGAGGCCATCATGAGGCAAGGTTTGCGGTGCACAGTCTCATAAAGATTTGTCCATCGTTAACGTACGGATCCTTATTGTCCGCGGTAATAAGTTAGATGGTCCAATTCCCTTCATTGAATGGAACCAAGTGTTTGCCTAAGGGCAGAATGCTCAACAGCAGATTTGCATATCTGTAGCATAGAAAACCAAGCTTGAAGGAAGTAAATAGGATCATGTCGTATTACATGACAGGGTTTGGGCTTTAGGTTGTACCTGAAGTCAGTGTATGTTTTTTGATTTTACTTCTTAAGGTAGGTAGGTAATGCAGTCCTTCTGGAGCTGAGAAATACTAAGTAATATACTGCCCTTACCACTAGGAAACACATCCGAACTAAGAAGTGATGTGTGGGATCCATAATGTATGCGAGACTTGGCGGACCATGCTCCTGGGACATCGAGAACTCGGACCCTTGCCCTATGAACAGTTTTACGGGCCGCAATCGGAGAAGGCCAGTACATCAGTGGACAGTCCCATGGTGCACGTGATAGCTTGCTATACGAGACCTTTTTATGACATGGTTGCCCCGACACAGGCACCCCGGTTCTTGCTTTAACCGGCCGGCCTATTCCCACGGGGAACTTAGGCCCAAACGCTTCTACCAATACGAAACCAAATGAAGTCTCTTGCTGAGAGCTGGGCCGAGATTGTTAATATGAAGATGAGTCATGTGATGTGAAATAGCCCTCAGAGACTCTTTCATGTCCCTCATATCCCTACCACGTGCCCAGACAAAACCGCGAGATGCCGAAACAAAAGAAAAAAAAAAACTCGCTAATCTGAGGCGTCCAGAATTCGGAGTCATGCATCGTCTTTCGGCCAGACCGGACCGACTTGGCAGTCCAGGCCGTTGAGTTGATTCGTTTTGATCACGCTACAAGAGACTGCGCCCTTCGCGTGTTTGGACCACCTTTAGGGGACGCTTGGACATCACCCTGGTCGGTCGTTCAACGATACGTGGAATAATCCCTTTTACCCGGCCATGGCTAAATCCAAGTAATATATGCAGTCTTGGCCTCATTTAGACTTCGTCTCTTGGGATCTGACACCGGAGGAAAAGGAAGGGTCGAGATGGACATCGGGCCAATGGCGGGACCCAAGGGGAGATGGCGTAGTTGTTAGTGTCCGGCGGGTCGTCCCCGGATTTTCTCCACGCCGTCTATTCGCTCTGTTTACCCGCCAGTCACTGCATCAGGTTGTGTCTCCATGTCCAGGCTCACCCTTAGGCTTGATCCTTAAAACAGACAAGCCTCGCTTATAACACGGGCCAGTACTTGGTTTGATATATTAAGACAATGCCGTCTCTCTCTCTCTGCCCCGCCGACCTCATCTTGACTCCTCCGATATCTGGCTTGTCCGTTCCCTGCCTCGCCCCTCATTCCCTGGGTTGAACTGATCGGCTAATCGCCTGCCAGAGGTGATATTGCTACCACTCTAGCTTCATCAACATGGGTCGCGGCTTTACCATCGGACTGGCCGCCTTTGCGGCCACGGGGTCGTTCCTCTTCGGATATGACAGCGGTGTCATGACCGATGTGATCGAATCGAAGAACTTCCTTGCCTTCTTCAACACCGTCCAGACTTCCCCAATTATTGGGGCGATTAACAGCACATTTTCTGGTGGAGGTGGGAATATTTACCTTGGATTCCCTACAAGCAATATGCCTTCGGAGAAGGAAGAAGGAACGCTGACTAGTCAACCCGTAGCTGCCTTCGGTGCCCTCCAGGGAGGACTGACGATGGATCGCTTCGGCCGTAAATTTACCATTCAAATGGGCGCCTTCATATGTCTTGTTGGTGCTATCCTTCAGACCGCCGCCCAGAACCTGGCCATGATGCTCGTTGGTCGTATTCTAGCTGGGTGGGCTGTCGGTCTCTTGTCGATGTCGGTTCCAGTTTATCAGGCCGAATGCGCTCATCCTCGAAGCCGAGGCTTTATCATCGGTTTGTCACAGCAGATGATCGGTATTGGCTTTATCGTCAGCACGTATGTTTCCCTTGCATTTCACTCGTAGTGATCTTGTTCCTAGGTGGAGGTCTAACTTTGATGCTTCGATAGATGGGTTGGGTTTGGATCGCTTCATGCTCCAGAAACTAGCGAGTTCCAATGGCGTTTTCCTCTGGCATTCCAGGCGGTTCCTTGCTTACTTCTAGCGGTGGGAATGTTCTTCATGCCGGAATCCCCTCGATACTTGGTCGAAAAGGAACGCTACGAAGAGGGAATGAAGATTCTGCGGAAATTACACTATGACGGTACGAACGACGAATGGATTCAGACAGAATTCAATGAAATCAGAACAACCATCGAAGCCGAGAAGGCTGTAACGGTGTCGGGCTGGCTTATCATGTTCCAGGTTCCCCAATGGCGGACTCGATTGCTGTATGTGAAACAGACTCATACCTAACCCCCCTGGAAGATGGCCGTTATTGATAACAGCTGCTCGCACTCCTATAGTCATGGTATCGCCGTCCAGGCCTTCGCGCAAATGACCGCGGTCAACGTGATCGGTTACTACCAAACCATCCTATACAATTCCCTCGGCATCACCGGAGGTCGCAACATCCTCGTCGCTGGTATCTACAACTGCGTTGGTCCAGTTTGTAACCTTATTTTCATTGTTTTCCTGCTCGACAAAGTGGGGCGGCGAAAGCCCATGCTGTTTGGCTCGATCGCTATCACCATCGTTCTGATCTGTGAAGCCGCACTGACTTCGGTCAATGAAGACGGGTCCCGGACGAGTTACAGCATTGCCGGCGTGTTTTTCATTTTCTGCATCACTGTGATCTTCTCCTTCTCCTACGGATCATGCGCGTGGTACGTGTCATCTCCTATCCTTCAAACTATATGGGCACCGCCACTGCTGTGGGGAAAATTTGGTGACAGCCGGGCTAACAACAATTCTCTCCAGGGTCTACATGGCCGAAGTCATGCCGATGCAGATTCGCGGTCGAGGAAACGCCGTCGCAACCAGTCTTGGCAACTGGGTGGTGAGCACGATCTGGAATCAAGTTTCGCCGATTGCATTCGGCAAGATTCACTGGAGGTTCTACCTGGTCTTCATTTTGTTTAGTAAGTGTTCTCCTTTCTGAGAATGGGTCGAGGACAGAGAAGCGAAAGCAGTTACTCATATTCTTTATCACCACTAGATGTCTGTATCAGTATCCCGACGGTGTTTTTCTTCTTCAAGGAGACCAAGCAGAAGTCCCTGGAAGAGATCGATCTACTGTTCGGTGGACGGGCGTTGGGGACCTTGCCGGAGAATGTGGAAGGGAAAGCCGCCGAAGCCGACCCTACTAATAAAGCGGAGGAAACTGGGGTCTCGTATGCGAATGTGGAGCATACGGATAATAAAGTATGATGTACTTTACTTTTCCACGCCATGATGTAGGGTTTGGTGTGCAGATCAAATGGTGGACCATGCGTGATGTCGTCATGGCACTGATCTTCATCTCCACCTATTTTGATAGTGTAGAATCCACGTCGTTATAAACACCCTCTACTTTACCACCTGACCTTGGGAGTCCGAGCTCCAGCCGAGGACGATGAGAAAGTAAATACCGCAGCAGGTGGGCCGTCTTCCTCTTTCAGCAAACTGCGGCTTTAGCGGAACTTTACTTCAATTGGCAATCCCGCGTTTTTGATGCCGCCCGCGGGGCCCCTGATTGGCCCCCGAGCTCGATTAAATTACCCCAAGATGCGTGGGAGCTCAAGTGACAAACAAGGGGGGGGCGACGATCATCGAAGGAATGAGAGATGAAAGGAATCCCAGTCTTGCTCATCTCATCTTCTGCAAAGAAAAGGTTGTCAAACCTGCGACCGTTGCAGATGGAGATCCCTCAACACTCTGCTGGAAGGGTGAGTTAGGGCACAGTCTCCAACTGACATACACTCTACATACCTAAAGGTAGTAAGGGTGTGGACAATGATGATGGCATGATTGGGAAGTTGAATGGCCTGACCACCGCCCGCCTTTTCCCACGCACCCACTCATCAGTGCTCACGGGATTCACGGAGATCCCCTTGTCGCATGGGCGCCAAGGGAAGGGAAAACCAAATCAAAAAAATACTTACCAGTGAAAGTCTGGGGCAAACGGCCAGTGCACGACACTCCCTTGGAATGCAAGGCAAGCTAAGTACTACTAGTAGTTAGTTGCCTTTTCAACACAGCCCTCTTCCGTACCCTCCGTACATCAAGTATGAAACTTATTCTAAAATAACCTTCTTTTTTCCATCTCGGGTCTCCCGTATTGTTTTTTCTCTCTTTTCCTTTTGGGATCCTCACTTTTCTGCTTCTTGGTCTTGGTTTCTGTTGTGATTGTTGTTATTATTATTTATGATCCCCACCCCCTTCACTCGGTTCGAACAAACGCATGCACCTCATCTCCTGTCGAGATCTGCTGACTGGAATGATGGTCTGATAGTTTTTTTTTTTTGTCTTTTGGCGTCCAAACTTCTTCTCCACAGTAAAACGGCGTGAAACCCCACCGCAGCGATCAACTATTAAATTTATCCACGACGCACTGCCCACCTGTCTTGCCTACGGATGCGGGAGTGACCGAAGGACGGTTGTGGAATTTTGAACACGGTTCTCGCCCATATTTCTCAGCTATTTCTCCCCCCCCCCCCCAGCGCCAGAAATTCTATACGTTGTTCCCCCGGCGACTACCCGCTGTCCCAGGGTCATGGAACATGGGGGTGTCGTCGGACAAAACTTCCTTCGCACGTAATACCCATATGGCAATTGTTCTCGGGGTCGGACTGGGTGTTGTGACTCTAATTATCATGTGTTTGCTGTGAGTATCGAGTAGTTTTGAATCCTTTCGGTTCTTCTTTGTCTTGTTTAATATACTTCTAGGGTGTGTTTTGACTTCAATTTGGATTTGATTCTTTTGTTCTATCGGTCGCTGCGTTATCCTTGTGTCTTTTGCCTTTGATTTTACGTGACCCAAACTCATCGCAGGGATTCTAGATTTACCATCTTTGTGAACCGTCGTGAACAGCGCCCCTGCTCGAAAAGCAAGAAAAAGGGATCGAGCGACAAGCTGCGCAAATTGGATGCCGTGTCTCCGGCTCGGACTCTAGAGGAATGGCGTTCGAAATCAAAAGGACCCCTGTTACCCTCCGAGGGAGTTGATGGTCAATTTGTGTGGTAAGTCGCGCTACCAGTTTGTCGTTGCTTGCCACTTCGGCCGTCATATTCTTGTATCCGGATGCGCTGTCAAAAGCTAGCCAGCTAACCCACCCGGCTCGTTACAGTGTTGTTTGCCTTGAATCGGTTCTGCCGTCCCAGGAGATTCGGGAGCTGAAATGCCTGCACGTCTTTCACAAGGAATGTTTGGAGAAATGGTATCTGCAGGATCATTTCAATTGTCCGCTCTGTCACAGAGCGTACTATTTTCAGGAAACACATCCTAGTAATGATTTTGTATGGATGGTATGATTGATGTCTGTTGATGCTCGTGCTATGCTTTGCTTGTTGTTCTTCTAGGGCGTTTCGGGTTGGCCGATGTGTTTTAGGTTGGCTCGCTTTTGATCGGATGACTGCTGTCTTTTCTTACTCTTTGTTCGCCGCATTGTCTCTTTGCCGAGATTGCTATACAATGGTCTCAGGTAGTTGCGATCTTTCTCCAATTACCGATCCTGAAATGTGATACCCTAGCGAATTCGCTCCGAGTCCAACTAATTCCTTGCAAGACCAAAGCCGTCGGTGGAAGACAGGAAATCAGTGTTGAAGTCCCAGTTACTGGGATTATACCAATCCAAGAAGCTGTCCAGACCAGAGGTCACGTCGTTGAAGACATCTCGCTGGATAGGCTGCGGGTCAATGATTTGGTCGAGAATATGGGACAGTTTCTTCTCGGCTTCCTTGCAGGTCTGATAGTTACCAAAGGTTGGACGTGGAACCCACGACAGACATGATAGAAATACACTTAGATTGCGAATGATTTCCGCGCGAGGCAACATGACAGAGTGCGGTCCGATTTCCTGGGTTTGATGAAGAAGTTCAAGGATCAGGACACTGGCACTGGGTACTCCATAGTACAATATCTAAGGTATGGCGTGAGCATCTAAGAAAAGATATTGTGATGTGGGCGATCAAAACATACCAGCCAGGAATAGTGTCTGTTCAAGTCCATGGACGGCTCACATTCGGAGCCTATCCTGATAACGATTGAAAGGGCTTCTCGCGACGTGTGGATCAACGCCTCTTGCCCTGCATTCGTGCGTTTTACCAGAACCCTCTGGAGGAGGAAAATCGTGTAGAGGTAGTCGAGGTACATGTGGAGACTGGGAAAAGACGAAGCGTATGATTCCGCATCCTCGCTCTGCCCGTGAACGTCGTATCGAATAAAAGGTGGGGCTGCTTCCAATGTGGCTCGCGCTTTCTCGATGATTTGGCTATACTTGATTAGCGGACAAATGACTTCGCCGTGCCAAATCCACTTAGGGTTCCTCACTTGGACTTTTGGACTAAATCCCAATCATCACCTGTTCCCAGTGCTACCTCGAGAGCCTGATCCCTGTACACAGAAAAGATGAACCGAAGACGTATCATGCTCGCCCTGTAATTTTGCCGTTGGGTGCTCCAACCTTCCATATTCAGGCTTGAAATGGAATTGGTGAGATCTTCACCCCCTGCCACTAGAACATCCTCATGCAAGTCCATGGGAGGTGTCAGCGAGCAGTATCGATAATTAATAAATGGCGGTCGCCCCACGAAGGTGGCTATCGCCTTATCTGCATAAAAGGCAGAGGCGAAACATATCTTTCTCCACTGTTGGAGGAAGAATGGGCAATCATCAGCCTGCGAGCTTTCCTGATGAAAGCCAGCAGCATATACTGTAGCTGACAAGTCGCCCAGTCGGCGCCAAGCTTGATAGCCTAATTCCCTCGTTAGCGTGCGATGTATCGAGTAGACAAGACATGGGCATACTTGTGTCGCCAAAATGTTGAGTTTTCAACATGACATCGTTATACTGAGCAAAGCCCAGTAATTCGTTGATTGAAGATGCCTGGTCACAGAAATTGAGACAGATGCTGCTTGCCTCCACGATCTGAGCGCGCAGTCTCTCACGAGCTTCACTGCTAGGCGCTGCCTGAACAAGGTCCGGATCATTGTCCGATGTAGACATCAAGGATATCCCAGAGATAGACAGGACTATCCCAAGAGATTCCCATCGAAGGTTCTTGCCAGTAAATGAGGCGCAATACTCATGGACAGTCATCAAGCGATGTGTGGTTAGTGGCTTTGAAGTATTATGGGATATCTGATAGACCAAGGCCTGGAACTGGGCTTCAATGTCGCTTCTAATGTCCAGACTGTCAAAGGTACTCCGGATAGACTCTATAGTTGCGTCAATAATAGCAATCGGAACTACAACGATTGCTTTCTTGGAGTAGAGCTTCCGGACCAAAACATCATAGATCGGAAAGTCATAAATAAGTTTCAATAGCTCTAGACCAGCCCTAAGACGGTCTGGGTCGACAGCGCTAACCGAAGTACCTGTCACTGCACCATGATCTATTTCAAACGGAAGATTACTGCGATGCTCCGTAAGAATAGCCGAGTAACTAGTCGCCCCTAGATAGCCAGGAAGCTCGGGGGTTGGCTCTAGGTTTGCACCGAGTCGAGTACTGTCCATGGCCAATGATGGGCTTGAGATGCTGTAAAAGAGTCAATCTTCACTTGGTGGTTCTCTTAATTTTCGGAATACATCTGGAAACGGGAGTTCGTACTTTGATCCCGGGTGACTGGTCAGGCCCTTCGACGCTTTGATCGGACTGGTCCGATTTGAAGCCACCCCCTTTGTCATTGGCGCAGGATGGTAGAAACATTTGGCAGTGATCTTTTTCGTGGTACATCTACCACAGACAGGCCTTGCATGGTCGCACCGCAGCTTGGCCTTGCGACAAGGTTCGCAAGACTGGAGTGTGCCATTGCGGCGGACTGCGGGGCCTCTCGTCGGTCGCTCCGCCATGAAATACCATCCACGAGACACCAACGCGATCAATTGCGCGTGATCTTCATGCGCCTGTTGTTATTTCGGCTGTTCTTCTAATAATGATACGGATCCGCAGTCAGTTCGGGTTTGATTCATGTCAAGTCCGAGGTGGCATCCGATAAAGGAAGCTTAACCTAATCTAACTGGAAATAGTTAGACCAGTATAAATCATTGCCTTACACCCGTTGAGAGGAAATCCACCGCTGTATTTATATGCTAATCTAATGGCTTTTATACATTATAACATTAATGGCCACTCTTCCTATCCACCTGCAGTGCCTCGCCATAGTGGCTCACGTCGTATCCGTTCTCCTCTAAGTACGCCTTGAACCTGGCATCTTCATCCTCCAACTCGCGCGACATGTCCGGAATCAAGAACCATGCAATGAGACCTCCGACCACTGTAAAGGCAGAAGCAATTAAAAATACGGCCTGCTGGCCCTTTGCAGTGGTATCGAACGAGTTCAGAATGGGAGTAAACACCTCCGTTCCAATCGAGGCACCAGCCTTGCCCACGGCGGCAGCAAATCCCAGAAAGTGACCACGGAGAGGAGTTGGAAAGGACTCCGCAGCACAGAGAAACGTAGATACACCGGGGCCCATTTCACCCAAGGCCATGAAAATGCCGTACATCACTACGAACAGCGGGAACACGCTTTGGATTGGGTGAAGCGCACCGCCAAGGATGAAGCCCCAGATGGCCCAGATCATGAAACCAAGAGTCATGTTCTGCTTGCGACCAATCTTGTCCATGAGGTACCCTCCAAGAAGGCACCCAGGGAGATAGAAGCAGTTTATCACGGTCTAGAAGGCCATGATCGTTAGTTACTAGTGAAATGGAAATGTTACAGACAGGACACTCACTCCATAACCGATATTCTGGACAGTTGTGTTGTCCGTCATCAATTGCTGGATAATGGTGGATGAGAAGATTCCGAACGGGTAGGTGACAAAGTCATAGCAGAACCACGCCAGGGCTACAAAGTCAGCACTTGAGCAGAGAGACGAATGATTTGGTGACTCACAGGTTCCGAGCATCGGCTTCCAATATCTTTTGAGAATAAGCCCATATGGATACCTAGATTTGATGCTGTGCTTCTGGTACTGAGTCGAATTGATCATGCGAATCCGGAAAAAGCAGATGACAAGGGGAAGCTATAATATTCATATGAGTGTCCGTAGTGAGAGAATAAACATATCGAAGTGGCGTACCACAAATCCAATGCCAAAGGATATACGCCATACACCAGCTCTAGTCTCTTGACCATAGCAAGCGAGAACAATAAGCGCCACGATACCAGCGGAGATAAAGCCCTACGTCCATGTGTTAGTACTTTCCTCGTGCTATAACCACTCTTGCTGCATACCAGGTCCACGGCAAAATCCGTAGTTGAGGCCACCAAGAAACCTCGGTTTTTCCGAAGCTTCGTTGTCTCGTCTGCTGCCTCCGTTGCACTCGTCGCACAAACGGGATACTCGCCGCCGGCTCCAAAACCAGCCACACCACGGGCAACAATCATCATCCAGAACATTCTAGATACCTGTAAGCAGTGACTTTAACATGCTAGGAAGTATGGAAAAGGGGGCACATACCCAAGCTCGGATTTCCCGTGCGCAGCTGCTGCCAATGCAATGCCCAGAACTAAGAACGCGGTGGCCGCTACCACACCCGTCCTTCGTCCCACGCGATCAATGAGAACACCAAAGAAAAGCATTCCAAAGATTTCTCCTATAAGAAACGAGTTCGATAGTCGACCTTTGATTGTTGAGGACATGCCATCTTTGTATCTACCATGTACCAAGAAACTAGTCAGCGGGAGAGATCTTGGCTGCAAAGCTTGTATAGCTTGTATAGCTTGTACGGCTTGTATGGCGGGGGTACAAACAAGACCGAGAATAAGGGTTCCATATATCCAACTACAAGATTCAAAGCATAGCGTCGATCAGTAAATTGTTTTCGATCCGGTAGTTGCTGTTGGTATACTTACTTATCTGGGCATTGTAGCCGTCGCTGAAAAGAGCCAGTCCCGAGATGATCACATTCAGAACCCCGGAACTTTTGCCGGATTGACCAGCTTCGACATCCTCACTGCTCTCGACTGTGTTCTCCCGTCCTTGTAAGCCTGTCCATTTGCTCACCGTGACATCGGCATCCTTGATCATTGAAGAATCGGCCGGAGAACTTTCGACCGAGGCCATGGTTGGAATTGAGCGCAGCAAGGCCGTTCTGGTGCCGTAAATACAGGAGGAAGACAACAACAAAAGAACACAGATTCTTTCCCAGCCATTTTATCCCACGTCGAACAATCTTCTATATAACATCGACATTGGTGGAGAGGAAGGATCAAAAGATCGGAAGGGAAATGCCCTCCCGTTGGCCAATCATGGGGTGTAGATATTGCACGGGCATGCATATTGTCGTGAGCTTGACAGACATCAATTGAGTTTCCACCGGTCGCGGTACATGTTGAGAAGTCTAGATATGCAGCCCCGGAGACAGTCCGTCGAGATGGAACATGTCATAGTACGACAAGAGGGACACGTGCCTCCGTGCCTGGGGAGTGGAGACGGCAGGGCTCCGCGAGATGTCGGGAACTACCGCGACACTAACCTCTAAGCGAAGGCCCCATAGCCAACTGTCGTCCTGTCGTTCGAGGCACATGGACACTTCTAAGTCTTGTCACTGGCCAGTAATTGTCGTCATACAATGTAACAGTTCCCTTGATGCCCTAAGACTCCCCGATGATCTCTCCATCTATACGCAATCTCGACTCCCAACGCTGCAACATTCCCCGCTCTCCTCTCATAAACCATTACCCTGCGATGTGTCACGACACCAATTTTAGACCCGGCATTAGTCGAATGCTCAGTGGGAGATGGCCTGCTGCAGGACTTATTTAGTCGGTGACCCCAGTCGCTTTCAGGGAATAGATCATGTGCCTTTCTTCGATCAGACCAAAAAAAAACAAAGAACTATCCGCCCAGAGCTTGACTTACTTGCACCATGGAGAACAGCCACTTCCCTTTGACTGAGGATCAACTGCAATCCTATAATGAGAAGGGCTACTTGGTTATTCAAGGGTTCTTCAACGCCCCAGAAACCAAGCTTCTTCAGCAATGGACCCAGGAAGTCCATGACCTGCCCCGCACTCCAGATGCATCATACATGCCATACGAGGTGAGCTACCGGGTTAAGAGGGTAACAATGTACAGAGCACAGAGCTGATGTAAGAGTATAGGAGGTAAATGCAGAAGGCAAGCGGGTCCTCTGTCGTACAGAGAACTACGCCAATAGCCATACTGGCTTTAACAGCTTCCTTCGGGGCCAGCGCATGTTGAGCGTCCTTGAACAGCTGGCTACCGAGCCAATGCTACTGTTCAAAGAAAAGATCAACTACAAACTCGCAGGCAGCGGTAAGTGTTCAGTCCTACGCGGTTTCCAGAGCTCCTTCGGCATCTAAGGCTAATCGTTAACGCAGGTGGCTTTTCTCCCCACATCGATGCCAACGCCTATACCCATGTCAAGAACATCAAGCATTTGACTGTCCTTGCGGCGGTGGACGACATGACCCCCGAAAACGGTGGTTTGGATGTTGTAGATGGCAGTCATCGTACAGAGATCAAACTGGGAGAGGATCGTTGTATTGAACCCGCTTGGGTCGAAAGCCAAAAGTGGACACCTTGCTGCCTGCTGCCAGGTTAGTGCTACCGATGTTACCTATATGACAAGTCGAGACATCTATTAACTCGTACCAGGTGATATTATGGTGTTCGGATCCTATCTCGCCCACCGCAGTGGTGCTAATACGAGCTCTAAAGACCGCCGAGCGATCTATGCCACTTACAATTGCAAGGCGGAAGGCGACCTCCACGATTCGTATTATGAAGACCGAAAGAAGCTCTGGCCTGCTACTCACATGCGGAAGGAAGGAGAAAACTACGAAGAGGGACGACTTCGGTATGGGTATGGTTCTCCAATGCTGACTATTGAAGGCCAACCACAACCGGTAGCGTAGACAATTGTGAAACATACTTCATACTTGGGGAGTGCAATATAGTTGGGGGTGATACCAATGTAAATAATCTTGAAGTCTATAAGGTCAGGGGACAAACTAGTGAGGATAACATTCTTGAGCGATGGTAATAGACACAGTATTCATAGGATGATTTCTGTACCCTCCCACCACAAGTAATATAAGATAATGGTAGTCTAATGTTCAACGCCATTCCCTGGCAAAACCAATTAAACCAGAGAAAGGAATCCCTAGTACGAGTAGTGTCCATTTTCAAATCAATGCCACACGTGGGGTTAACCTTTTGCCATTTTGGACTATTTAAAGCTATCATCCCCTCTTTCTCTCAGCTCTCCCGGCCTTCATCTTTTTTACCCTCAATTACTCAGGACAGACATTTCTCCCACAAATCCCTCAAAAATGGCCACGCAATCACCCAAAGCAAAAGCAGAATACCTAGTCACATCACTCGAGCAACACGGCCGAGGCGACTACATAGGCGAATCAATCAGCCAACTAGAACACTGTCTCCAAGCAGCTCACAATGCACAGAAACACGGTCAGTAGTAGATCACCAACAAAAGCCAACTAAACAATCAACCAACTAACATTCCACGGCACCAGGCGCACGAAGCGAACTCATAATCGCAGCTCTCCTCCACGACATCGGCCAAATCATTCCCCTCGAATCAACCAAAGAAGTGCGAATGAATCTAAAGAATAGCGCCGAAAACGTCGGTCGCGTCGGCCATGAGCGAATCGGGTCTGAGTTTCTGCGCTCTCTGGGATTTAACTCGAGCGTGTGTCAACTAGTTGAGAGTCATGTTGCGGCGAAGAGGTATTCTCTCTCCCCCTCCCCTATACTTGTTCTCGGGTTGTTATTAGGGCTTCCCTGTATGTTATGTGCTGGGAACTAATATTCACGGGCAGATACCTCACGGCGGTCAATCACTCATATTATGATTCACTATCGTCGGCTTCTAAGAAATCGCTCGAATTCCAGGGGGGTCCATTCAAGGGAACAGAGCTCGCTGCTTTTGACCAGGATCCGCTGCGTGATGAGATGGTTGCACTGCGGCTTTGGGACGATGCTGCTAAGGTTCCAGATATTGAGGACTCCACGCCCCGTGCACGGGAATATTTGAATTTGATAGTAGCGCATTTGGAGGCACAGGAGGTAGCGTAGCACTTTATCTGTGGGAAGGAAATCAGCCTAGGTCGGACGTCATGCGCGGCACCTTTTATCCTGTATCGGTCTCTATGACGCATCCATACCATGTTTGAGCTGGAAGAACGAGTTTGCGTTGGCATCCGAGGTAGTGGTGCCCCAATTCAAAGTATAGCCCGTAATAGAGCCTAGTCATACGTTTGACCATGCAACATAGCTACTAAGAATCTTACACTACCAGTTCTCGATGGTTGAAATCGTCATCAACTGAATTTGTCATGCCGACGTAGGTCGTATACGTACAGAGACACACAATGCAATCAGGCAAAATACTGCTGTTCACGCTTGCGATAGAGCAATGCAAGTGTATAGGCACTGGTTCTAGCCACAGGATTCCACATCAATACCAACTTCTAAATCCTCCAACATCAGAATACCCCCGGACGCCGTAACACACATAACCAGACCCATCGATTTTAAACCAGAAAAAACCAAGAAGACACCCACAGGCCGTTGATCATCCAAGATCTGAAACGCATGGACAAGTGAAGAAGAATAATGAATATGCGAAAGGGTAGTAGGAGGCACATGCAATATGCACTATTATAGTCCAGCAGAAGCAATATGCTGGACTGTAAGTAACATGAGTCAAATAAAATGTAACATAAGAAGGATATCTTGAAGGAATAAGGAGAGAAAAAAGGCTGCCGTAGGACTTATTTCACACGAGTCGGGCTGCCAGCACTGCCGATTCGGCCACTAGTCTTGCGGACGCCTCTGGTCTCGCTCCGGCTGTCCGTGACACGCCGAGGGCTGGTGCGGACCTTGGCAACGGATACCCCAGCCTTAGAGCTCACTGGGGTCTTTGGCGCGGCATATGCAGCGTCACCCCAGTTTTCCCTATCCTCATGAATGCCATCATTCAATGTGTAGCTCGTGGTCAGTGTTGCCGAGTAGCTAACGGACCGCTGGCTTGGCGATGCCACTGGTGACTTCGACGAACGCTTCGCAAGCATGCGAAGTTGAATCTCCTCTTCACTCTCGCTGCTATCACTGCTAAGGCGCTGGCTTCTGTGCGATGAATGTTCTCTAGCTTTCGCCTCCTTGTCAACTACCAGGCTGCCAGATGTTGTGCGGGCGTAAGGGTGGTGACGGGAGTCTTTCCTGTGCGATTTCCTAGCTGGCCGGGTGTTGGCGCCGGGAGATTCTCGTCGTGTTGTGTTCCGGCAGCCTCGTTGTGATCAATTTCACCCAGTGCAGCGCGCTTCGAATGACCGTTGTTTGGAGGTGTAGCGACAGGGGCGTTGTTCGCACGCTGCTTGGTGGATGGACGGCCGGGTGTGACCGGAGCTGCCTGCATTTGTGCCAATTTCTCCTTCATGCTGTCCTCAAACCACCATTCACGGAATGCGCCTTGGTTCAAATGCAGCCAGTGTTGTTGTGGGCCGACCACCATGCCGGGGCGCATGAACCTCATGAATGCAATAATCTCATTGGCAGTAAATCCATATCGGTAAATCAGATATGCACCAATCAGACAGCCCGTCCGGCCAAGGCCAGCTTTGCAGTGCACAGCAATTCCCTTCTTCTTGACCGTAATCATATCATGGGCCATTTTGATAAATCGTCGGACCAATGGTAGAGGAGGACAAGTGCCGTCTTCAAAGATCATGTCGATGTGAGTAATGCCCAAGGCCGTAAAGTATGAAGGCGAGTATAATTCAGAATTCAATCGCACAACTAGTCCAATGTCTCGTGACGCGAAATGGGCCAACACATTTTTGAAAGGAAGAGGTAATTTGGATGCATGGACTTGGGAGATTGTAGCAGGCAATGCGGCATATTCGGGGGTATTAGGAGGAATCGGGGTAATCGGTTCGTGCTGTGGCGAAGCAAAGGCCAAGAAGTGAGGTGTTATCCAGTTGAAGTCACCCATGTCGACACGTTCGAATTTCTCATACCTAGTGCACTGGTCAATAAATTTCTTATATTGCAGTCAAATGAAACGTACTCTTCAAGGCTAAACTCCCTCAAGCCACATAGCGACTGCTCCTTTGCTTTCCAAACTCCATAAACCACATCTTGAATGGTCAGGGTGAAATCTGCCTGACTGTACCCGGCATCTCGGAATGGCATATACGGAGGATCAGCCTGCGCAATCGGAGCTAAGGCCAAATGAGGCGGCCATGACTGGATGAGGACCATGTAGCAAGCAACAAGACATGCTGCATTGGCACGACTCCGGGCGTCAGGCTTCGAGTAGAACACCACTGGGCGATCACTGTTGGCAGGGTCGCCCAGGATCTCATGGAAATGGACTGCAAACCGGTACAAATGACCTATGTGGAGTGGGCCGAAGTCTGCATGGAAAGAGTTGTAAAGCAAGGTATCATCGACCGTGAAATACACGGGGCTTCGCCTCTTCCTACTTGGGGTGTTCGGCTGAGCTCTCGCGGAGCGCTTGCTTGGAGACTTGGGTTGCTCGGAAGGATATGGGAATGGAGTTCTCGCATCCGGTGCATCGTCATAGGAAGCCAAGTAAAGACGATCTGTTTTCCCAGGCAGTTAGCATGTGGCTTTTGATATCCAGCTTTGAATGTTTTGATCAGTGCAGCAAATCGCTTCGATTGCAATAAACACATGCAATCGCACGTACCTTGGATATACTCAATGATCTGGCCGTAATCACCACTGTTTCCGGCCATTTTCAATGCAACAATGCGTCACCAAAACAAATGGCTAACAGCAATATGGACAATAAACAATCGATAGGGGGTAAGGTAAGCAGCAAGTAGGGCGTCTCTGGGAGAGAATTGTCCTGCAATTGCAAGATAGTTGTAGCCTGATCAACAGCGTAGATAAATCCAACCAAGTGACGCAAGCTAAACAATCATGATCCGAACCGTTGCCACTCGTAATAGACAAGAATACTGATAATCCACGAGGGGGTCGCGGATAGAATAAAGATACCGGCAATGCGGCCTGAGTAGGAGCAGGGAATCGAGGAGACCTTTAAAGGAGCCTTGAGGGGGGGGTAAGGAGAGAGGGGAAGGAGTGGAGCTGAAGAGGAGAAAACGGTGGTGAACTGCCGCACGAGAGAAGAGCTCGAGGCCGATGAGACCGTTTAAGGAAATGCGATGCACGCTTAGTGGCCGCTGTTATGTTGTGATGGCCCCAGAGCAGTCTAGCGCCGGCCGTTGACACGACAACGCTTGTTGCCTCAGGCGAACATCACAACTGTCAAAACAATCACTTATGTAAGCCACCAGGCCCCCACTCAGACAAACAGAGACAAACAACAACCAAAACGGTTGCCCTCCAGGGTTTTGGTTGTTTGTTGTGTGCACCACCACGAGCCCTCATCCTGGTTATCGAAAACACCCACGTTCTGTGGACGCCTCTGCATCCAGCCTTTTTTTCCCCCGAACATAGTGACTTGTGGTTACATTTTTAAGGACAGTTCGAAAGTTTACATCAACCACAAATAGGGGAGGAAGCCCATTATAAGTTATAACTGGCCCTATCAACCAGGAGAGGAACCTGCCTCCACGGAGCGTTCTAGCTCAAGACAACAGAACAGCATTGTCAGGGCGATGGCGAACGAGAAATAACTCTCAGTCTGAGAGACCCTTTCTCGGTCCACTCGAAACTATCGGACGATTTGTGGATTTTCATCTGAGCCGAAATTGCAACATGAAGCAATCACCTTCGGGCTAGCCATTGGATATCCTGCACATCCTATTGCATGAGATTGAGATCATTCCCGGTAGTACTACACCGCTCATACCCTGTTAAGTAGGTATATTGCGAGGTGTATCAGATTGTACAGTCCCTCTGGTCCCTGGATATCTGGTATCGCTAGTTCATTATATATCTTCACAGTCCTCGACACGTCAATGTGGAGTAGTCGATGCTCGAAAATGTGACAATAGCGACTTGACTGTTATAACATTGCTTTCAAAGTTCCGATAGTACGAACAAATACCTTGGTTGGTCAAGGGAGCTTTCAGGAGAATATACTCCGTACTTTCTCCCTCGTGTCTATCAAGTGCCCTCACAATGGAGAAGGTTTAAAGATCGTGTGTTTACCCAGGAGGGAAAGTAATCTGCGGGCAATGACCGAAATTCGAGTTTCGCGAGCGATGATCAGTGGAGGGTAAAAAGGGCGCAATTTGGTAACCACTGCGCACAATGCTTAGAATTTGCCGTTCCATAAAAACTACAGAGTAGCAAGTGGATCTGATCGGCAGGGGCGGGGGATTGCCAATTTGCTGTACGCTAGAAGTAACGTTGTCCCGTACCCTATGTAGAACCATTTGGTGAACGGAGTACAGAGTATAACCGAGTGTGGCTCGCTGCGCGAGTTCAAACAAAATATCAACACATGCAGGAGTCTTCGTGAAATTTAACAATGGCCCCTAATTCTCCGACAAGCCACTATGAAGGGATGGTATGTTCGTGGCCTGACAAAACGCCAACTCTTGGGCAGTGGCGACAGCAAAGAAACGACGATCTTCCAGCTAAGGTGCGACTATCAACGGTTAAGGTTTGAGTTATTAGGCTTAAGTGACGTTTAATTGGATCCGGGGTATGTGCGCGTTTTTCTCTCCCAACTGCCGGCTACTGACGGGTGCTCATGCGCAGCAGTCATGCCTCTCTGTAGGTTGATCAGTGCTGAAACAGCGTGGTTAAAGATAGGGCTTGGCTAGCAGTCCACTCCAGTCAATAATAGCTTACAGACCCAAAATTATTGCTGAGTACCGTGGTATAGGAATGTCGGACTATTGAGGCGTGTATCGTCGAAGCAAAAGATTGGAGGACTCATTGCCAGGCACTTGGTAGTCAATTCATCATGGCCTCAATCTTGTGCCTCGGAGTCTATCCTTAGTGCTTGGCCTAGGAGCCTAGTATTCCACGCAACGGAGACATGGACGGCTTGTGCACCAATTGGACGCCTTCTCCGGCATTGAAGCTTACCTGCGTTAAGCGTGGACCTCAATTCCACGTTCGTATAGGTAGTTATTGGCGTTGTTGCCCATGAGGACCCAGTCCGCTTACACAAGGAAGTGCAGTTAAAAGGTTGAAAGCAAGGCTGTCCACGTCGATCATTATTTGATTCAACTATATGGAACAGACTAATGGATTATGATAGTCGCCATCTGCGGTGCCTGTGCAACAAGCCCCTGATTATTGGGGTCAAGAGGCAGTATATAATCAGGCTTGGGCATCCTCTTTCTCTTTATCCATCAGACAAGCTCTCCCACCTCAGTCATTCCTTTCCCAAGCCCGCTCTTCAGCGTCCACTCCTTCAAAGACCCAAGTCATTCATTATTTCTCATCCATACACCAATTTTCACCCACCAAGATGAAGTTCACCGGACTTATTGCCTCTCTTGCTGCTGTCAGCGCTGCCTCCGCCGCTGCTATTCCTACCGCTTCTCTCCAGCCCACCTTGAACCAGCTTACTGGCGTTCTTGGAAATATTGACGGTCTCCTTGGTGGTGCCCTCGGCGGTGCGGGCGTTGCTGACCTCGTTCAGGTTCAGGATGGTGTGTTTTGGATCTTTCGGTCATGTTTTGCCTCGCATAGAAGCTAACTCTAGTGGTACTAGCTCTTAAGCAGATCCAGACCGAGCTGAAACAGCTCACTAGCACCGTCTGCCAGCGCAGCGTTGTTGGCAATGAGGTTGACACCGTGAACAATGTTGTTTCGCCGGTGACTTCCACCGTTGGCGGTGCCGTCAAGCCTGTGGTTGACACTGTCAACTCAGCTGTCGGCACCGTGGAGGGTACTGTTGGCAACACCCTTCCCGGCACCACCAGTGGTACGGACTGCATTCAATCCTGGAAATTACAATGACTAATGTGGATAATAGTCCTTGGTGTCAAGCGTCAGGTTGGACAGCTCACTGGTGTTGCGACCAACCTGGTCAGCCAGGTTAAGGACGGTAAGTTACTGGCCTTGTTCACATTGCGAAAGAGCGTTAGCTGAGTAATTTTTAGAAACCCTCGACGCTGCTGGTGTCGAGCACATCCTCAGCCTCGTCCAGACTAGTAAGTCCTGCAATTTTAAACTTTTCTTGAAGCTCTACTAATCACATCCTAGACAACCTCCCTCTGGTCGGCAGCATCCTTGGTCTTCTGTAAAGAGACTGACCTAGAAACCTTTTCTCTCACGACTGTCATGGAACCTATCTGCGCAACGCTTGACGTGAGCTTCTTGTCAGGAAATCCACGGGAAACGGCAATGTGAGAGGACAGCGATGTTGAAACCTGGCCAATCGGCGACATGGACATCAAGGGCTGGGAGGAGATCTTTGTACATACAGTTCTAGCGGAGGCTTTCGTTCATAATTTCTAATTTGAGATCTTGAATCTGATATTCCCCTGATGCGATCTCTTCTAGATAGGGCTTTGTTTAGCCTATATAATTGTGACAACAACTTCGATGTAGCTGAACGAAACCAGGGATTTCGAAGCCGGAGCCTCAACATGAAAAATATATACTTCTCGTTATCGCTGGCTAAATTTACTTGTTAAGCATCCACGCCATGGGCTATTGACAATATAGAATATAAACCGAAAGACAAGACTTGTAGACTCAAATATCACTCTTTAGTCTCGTATCATCATAACAAAGACCTATTGATAATCAATCTGGCTAGGAATAGTTAGTTATGTGGAATTGGATTTGAATATTTACCGAGTCGAGAGTGAAGGCGCTGACTCATCCAAGGTCCCGCACCCCACTTTTGCTTCCGTTGAATTTACATCGAGATCGAGTTCTTTGCTTCGATGCCCGCAAAAGGTGGTTTGCTGTTTTAACCCTGCATTTTACTTCATTGAAACTTTCTTACCCTTTCAATACCGATATCGCATCCAAATAGAAACTATCCGACATCATGGCCTCTACTGAATCAACGAACGCCGAATTTCCCTACACTTTGTAAGTTCACTCACAATACCCCGCCTCTCCAATCAAGATATCAACCGTCTAATTTACCGCGCACACCAGGACTGTCTCCCTCCCCTTCCCCTCAAATCGCCTTGCAACCTCCGCCCTCCGCGCCATTGAAGTCGACACCGAACTCTCCCCCTTCGTCCGACGCGACATGGCGGTAACCACTCCGAAGGGAATCCAAGCGGATACCGAAGAGGCAAAGACTGTGCTCGAGACTACATACCGTGCAACCACAAACCGGATGCTGCGGGTGGCCGTTAATGGGTTCATGGAGAGTCTTGGGGTCGTACTTGGGGTAATGGAGGAGTTGGATGTGGATGTATTAGAAGCGGAGGGAGTTGAGAAATGAACCCAACTCGCAACGGGCAACATCTACGTCCCGCTTAGCTGGAAACGGATACAATCTGTGCAACATCTTATGGCTACGGCATCTGCCTTGTCGGGCAACAATAAACACCGGAATCACTATCGGCTAGACGCACTCTCCATGAGAGTATGAGTGTGTGTGTGTGTGTGATACCCACCAGTGTCATACAGTGGGGAACATATTGTCGACGGGAAGAGGCATGGCGTCCGGGGTGGATGGGGGAATCATGGGTGAATTTCCAGGTTGGCCTGGAAGTTCCAGGGAGCATGTTACCAGTGGCGGTGTATTTTCCTGCCAAGGTTCTACTTGAAGACACAGAAGCGGGGATCCTCGGTAGCACACAATATCTACGAGGTGCGCAACCCTTTGAAATGTATGTATGCATGTCTCCAAGTATGTACATACATGCCTTGTTTTCGGGTTGGTCGAATAGCCTTGGGATGTCTTGTGTCTATGTCGCTGCGATGTTCGGCATACTAGCCCCCAGCTGCTTATGCTCCTGGCCCAATGCGACTCAAATTTTTTTTTCTTTTTTCCCTTCTTCCTGCCCTGTCCTATTTGTTTGAGAGTCTGCCGTAGGCCAAGGTTGAATATACAACAGAAGTTATTCGCGGAAATTAAGCGGTGAATGACTCCCGGCGGCACCAGCAAAGCGAAGCGAGAAAGACAATTATCTGAGGAAATCACTGGATAACGGGAGCCATGAGGCATGGAAAATGCTAACAAGAAGTAGAGGATATCGCAAAACAGCAGTGGCAAAGCTGTCCGTCTATTGAGATTTTGTTTTAGTGTGAAGCAACTCCAGCAGACGCTCGAGACCACCACCTAATAAGCCCCACCCAGCCTACTCCGTAAGAATCCTTCTTATAGTTCATGTGGATATCTTTTCCGGGATACAGTCATTGGAACATATCTGAGGTGCTGTGGACACCTGCTCTTAGCACGGACGCGAAAGGACACACCGCTTCGTATCCCCACCTTGTAAGTTCAACTGTAAATGTATAACGAGAGGAGGGCTTCTTTACCACAGGCTAGGAAAGATGACTGAAGTAAGTTAGGGTTCGTGCTACTTGGATAGGAAAGTTGGGAAAGTGGCCATTTCCTCCCCCCCCGGCATAGTCAGAGAGGTCTTGGTAGAAGGAGAATTGACTTGGCTACTGACGACGGGAAAGCATCAGGTTCATAGTCCATGCCGACGGTCACTTTAGAGTAAAGTTTCGGAAACTAGGGATTGAGAGGATCTATCCACACACACCTCGGCGCTACAGATATGGTGTAGTGGTGGTGATACATCCTGATGACACGGAGAGGTGGCTAGCTAATGGGACGCATCGGTGGAATGTTCCCTCGTGAATTGGGAGATCATATTGTCTACGTATGCAGGTCCCTTGCATCTATTCAAACAGGTTTTTATTAGGTACTGCTGTCTAGAGCTGACAGGATCGACGAGTAAGATTTATCTGCAGCACCCATGATGACTTATCTACATACCGTAACTACTAGTACCAGGAACTGTACAGGTCAGATCACTTAGGGCGTCAATGCGGCCAGCTCTCTTGCATCTTGACAACACACAACCTGTCTTCTCGAGATATATACCCGGTTCTTCCTCACCTGTTATCTGCTTGTCTAGCGCAATTGGACGTGTTTTCTCATCTGAGCCAATCGATTCTAATTTTCCCGTCAATTTCTCGAGTGGCTCACGCTCGACTGCCAACCAATTCCTATCCAAAAGATGCTCCATGATCGAGCATCATCCGCTACAAGCATCAACGGCAAGCCGCATATTTATTTGAAAGCCGATGGAAAGCGGCAAAAGTCGGCAAACAGCTTTTGGGGTCGTCGCAGTCATGTTTCTGCATTTTCTGGCCTCCTAAGTTTGCTTTTCGCCATTGGCACGTTTCTTTTCGTGCAGTTTCTGCGTATCTGCCTCGAGCATTTCGACGGCTCTCTACGGCAGGCCTTGCTTGAGCTACTGGTATACTCATCACCGATAGCCCTTTTTCGACGCTATCTTCCTGAAATATCCCATGGCCATGTGATGGCGTATGCGAGCTGGATACTTTCTCAGGGGCTGTTGTACTCCCTTCTTCCAGGGAAGACCGTCTATGGGCCACCAACACCGGGCGGGAATTCGTTGCCCTACCGAATGAACGGCCTATGGTCGTGGTGTATCACAGTTGGTACAGTCTTTCTGGCCGCTTGTGTAGGAGGTGTTGAGGTAGTTGCAAGCTTAGCCCAAAATTGGGCAGGAGTGTTAGCGGCAGCGAACATTTATGGACTAGTATTGCCAGCTCTGGCTGTGGCGAAGGGTCATATATGGCCGAGCTTTAAGACCGATCGACGACTTAGTGGTTCGTACATACTCTTCCCGTAGGGACGTGTTGGCTTTATAGCCTTTTATATGATGTTTGAAGAATGACGCTTACCGGGAAATTGTGACTAACGAATCCAGGCTCGATCTTTCACGATTTTCTGGTTGGGGTTGAACTGAATCCCCGACTGGGTCGGCACTGGGATCTGAAGATGTTTCAAGTTGGCCGTCTAGGAATGAACTCCTGGGTAGTGATGTAGGAATGCCCCCTTTGCGATGCATAGTGTAGAAAATGTGGGCTTACTCAAACAGCGACCTATCTTTCATGGCCCAACAATACCTCCGTTATGGCACAATCTCTAACTCAATATTAATTGTGATCATTCTCCATGCCGTATACGTCGTCGACTTTTTCATCAACGAGGACTGGCAAGTCCCTCTTATACCCTGCACTGATTGTACCAAAGTTCTAACATACATGTCCAGGTACCTTACAACCATAGATATTGCCCATGACCACTTCGGCTTCACCCTCGCCTGGGGCTCTGCCGTTTGGTTACCCATGGTCTATACCGCACAGGCCCAATACTTGGCCTTACATCCGGTTGGCCTCTCTTCATTCACATTCAGCGCGATCCTTGCAACAGGTATGCTGAGCTATGTGCTATTTCGTCTCGCCAACCACCAGAAACATCATTTCCGACAAACGAGGGGCAATTGTCAGATTGCCGGCAGCACGCCTCGCGTTATCAGGGCTCAGTATACTACAGCAAAGGGGAAAGTCCACGAGACACTTTTGCTGTATTCTGGTATGCATAGTTCCTCTCCCTGACCTTCTTTACTTGACTTTCTTCATGCTACGTATAGACGCTGCTCAGTGTATCAAGGCATGACTAACCGGGATGTAGGCTGCTGGGGGATTGTGCGCCATCCCAATTATGTTGGTGACATTGTTTTCTCTTTCTGCACCTGCGTGTGCTGTGGGTGGTCCCACGTTCTACCGTATATATATTTCATTTATATGACTCTACTGCTGGTCCATCGGTGCCATCGTGATGAGAAGCGGTGCTCAGCTAAGTATGGGTCCCGATGGGAGGAGTATCAACGGATGGTGCGGTGGAGGATGATACCCGGATTATTCTGACCCCTGTTCATTATGAGGCGAACTTGGAGCAGGATTTGAATTAACATAGGCTGAGTCGAGGCAGATTATATACTATAACTTTTATATAGTGCACTATGTCTCATATCTGATACGATTTTTCTTGTTCAGCCAGAACATAGACAAGGCAAGATTATGAATGGTATAGACAATTGGCTTCGGTTGAAGTACCACTTCACGGGGATTGTTTAGTTGGGTTGTCAAGGGTTAGGGAACTAAATTTACAAATCTTGATTATTCGGGCAATGATCTGGCATCGATCCAGTACCTCACATAGGAATGGATTTCTTCCCCCTCATTATGTCGACCGCGCGCCACATGGCATGGCCTTATTGGGCAGTACTTAAGGAAGTGGACATTGAGGAGCCGAACATCTCCGTAAAAGTCTCCGGGTCCAACAATCGTCCCTCCAGCTCTGCATGAATGATGCGCAGGACCCCCCCATCGCAAGCAGTTGCGAGCAACTGGCCTCCTTGCCGCAGCAGACCAGGCGGCGCGGAGGACGGACTGCTATCTTCTACCACCAATGTGCGCCAGATGATTATCCGTCCTTTTGCCGTGTCCATGAATGCCCCTGGATACGGATGTGTCACAGCTCGCACAAGGTTGTGAATTTGTCGTGCCCCCATCGTCCCCCAATCGATCCACCCGTCCTGCGGCTTGCGTCCGCCAAAGTACGACCCGCAGCTGAGGTCCATCTCTCGCGCGACCACCGTCCCACTCACGATCTCAGGTAAGGTTTGGCAGAGAACCAACTCTGCAGCGACTAGTACTTTGGCAAAGACATCCGAGGCCGTATCATTGGGCAGGATAGGCACGGCCATCTGCCCCACAATGGCGCCTGCATCAGGCTTTCTCACCATTTCGTGGAGGGTGGCGCCCGTCTGGGACTCACCGTGCACGAGAGCCCAGTTGACGGGGGCGCGGCCACGATAGCGAGGCAGCAGAGAGCCATGCATATTGTAGCATCCTCGGCGAGCCGTCTCCAGGACCGGCACGCTAAGGATCTTGCGGTAGTAGAAGGAGAAAATAAAATCGGGGTTCAACGATCGGAGCCGCGTAATCATGTCTTCTGTATTCGGATCGTCGGGGGTAATCACAGGAATTCCATGGAAGCTCGCGAGGTTCGATACACTATCAAACCAGATATTCTCGTTTTCATCGTCCGGATGGGTAACCACCAGCTTCACCTCGATCTCTTGTGCAAGGAGAACGGAGAGACACCGCACACCTACGTTGTGGTACCCGAAAACGACTGCGGAGGCCATTTCCAGCTTGTTCTGGATTTTAGGCTGTTGGGGTTAAATGTCGAAGAGTATAGGGTTGGTTGTTGTGGGAATGATGCTGCAAGCAGCTGGGATGGTTATACTGAAAGATCCTTCCTAAATGCCACCGCCCTTCTCAGCTAGCTTAGACTAACTAACTTAATCGATTTAGTTAATCTTATTTGATTAACGAAAGCAGTCGAAATGGGCGCTAAGATTCTGGCCAGCTGTGCGGGGCTTCAGCTCGCGTGTCTATATGTACTTCGCGAGGTCCCTGCGTCGGTCACTCATTCCTTTGCAGTTAACTGTAACAGAGCACGTTTGGTCAAAAATTGATTGAAAAATGTGTGATCAAAATTTACCAGAAAATAAGAATCTCAAGGTTCTGGTTGCTGGAGTAAGCTTTGCGGGAAATTTATTGCAATCATCTACTATACTGATACTAGTAGGCAGCCGGGTTCTTAGGGTCCCATCTTGTAGACCTTCTGCTAGAGAAAGGCCATGAGGTAATTGGCCTGGATAACTTTCAAACGGGCTTTCCCAACAACCTGAGACATCTGGTTTCCAATGTCAAGTTCACCCTCGTCCGGTATGCTGCTACCTGGGCTGCAACGCGTATGTATTATGCTGACTCGCTTTGAACAGTCACGATGTGCGAGCCCCATTACCAGAATTGCCTATCGTGGATCAGATATATCACCTTGCCTGTCCAGCGAGCCCGATCCAGTACCAGAAAGACCATATTGGCACACTTGATACCTGCTACCGTGGGACGAAAAGCCTGCTGGAATTCGCAACAGAACGCAAGATCCGGATTCTATTCACAAGCACATCTGGTTCGTAGCGTGGAACCCATCATATACTCCTGGGGGGGGTAAAGAACACCTGCTGATTGAGACGGCTGGCCGTGCAGAAGTCTACGGAGATCCCAAGATCTGTCCTCAGCCGGAGACGTACTGGGGGAACGTGAATCCGTTTGGGCCCCGGTCTTGCTATGATGAAGGTAAACGAGTTGGGGAGGCTCTGATGTATGGATATCGGGAGCAGCATGGGACGGACATTCGCATTGCCCGTATTTTCAACACGTACGGACCGCGAATGGCTGCCTCGGACGGAAGGGTCGTTTCTTCGTTCATTGCGAGCGCGCTGTCGGGACAACCGATCCAGGTGACTGGCGATGGATCGGCGACACGCTCGTTCCAATATGTTAGTGACTGCGCGGACGGCCTTTATAGGTTGATGAATAGCCATTACGCAAAGGGACCGGTGAATATAGGCAACGATAACGAGAATACCATACGACAGTTAGCGGAAATGGTTGCAGAGCTAGTAGTAAGCATTACCGGCCAGCAACGCAAGGTCAGTATCGAATTCTTTCCACCACCGGTGGACGATCCTGCTACTCGGCGACCGGACAACTCTCTGGCGCGGGAAGAGATTGGGTGGAAACCGATCATCTCCCTCGAACAGGGCCTAAGACACACCATTCGGTGGCATATTGAAGAGATGGGCCGAGGTGATCACCGTGTAGTGCGGCTGTGATTACTACGCTCATGAGGTTCTGTTTCGAGGAAAAGATATACAAAGAACATGCTTCATTTGTCGCTTCTCTAGATATGCGTCAATCGCCTCATGAAATACCACTCGACCGTTTCCACCACCTTGCGTGCTTGCTCCATGGTCATCGTGTAGAAGATCGGAAGGCGAACAAGTCTCTCGCTTTCGCGGGTTGCAAAGTCCTGTCGGTCCAGGACGTGCCGACCTTGGGTGCCGGGGACCGTCGAGTGTAGAGGGCTATAATGAGCGAGAACAGTTATCCCAGCTTCTTTCATCGCGGCAATGAAATCTTTCCGCTGCTCTCCATCCGCCACTTTTAGAAAGAAGATGTGTGCGTTGTGCTGGCAGTAAGATGGGACCAGAGGCAGAGTGATGGGTGCATCCTTGCATAGCGTAGAGAGTTCCCTGTAGTAGAAACGCCATATCCCCAAACGGCGGGTTTGTATCTGATCCGACGCTTCAAGCTGGCCCCAAAGGTAGGCGGCCTGTATCTCGCTCAGGGTATAGCTCGCCCCGGCCTGCTGCCAGGTATAGTGGGGTACTTCTCCCCGCAGGAACATTTGGCGGTCGGTGCCTTTATCTTTGATGATTTCCGCTCGTTCGACCAGGCTAGGGTCATTAATCAGAATCGCGCCACCTTGCCCGCCTGCGGTCACATTCTTGCTCTCGTGGAAGCTGAAGCATCCGATGTGGCCCATGGTGCCCAGCGCACGACCTTTGTAGGTTGAGAACAAACCCTGCGCCGCGTCTTCCACGACAGAGATCCCGTGCTCGCTGGCTATGTGCATAAGAGCGTCCATGTCGCAAGCGACCCCGGCATAGTGGACCGGGACGATTGCACGGGTCTTGTCAGTGATCGCATCCCGGAGCTTCTGTATGTCCATGTTCATGGTCTCGGGCACAATATCCACAAACACCAACGAGGCCCCGCGAAGTAGGAATGCGTTTGCCGTAGAAACATAGGTGTAGCTGGGGACAATGACTTCATCACCGGGCTGGATGTTCAGAACCAATGCCGCCAGATCGAGAGCAGCAGTCCCAGATGGAGTAAGGAACACTTTGGCGGCTGACAGTGTCTTTTCCAGCCAGTTTTGACATAGGACGGTGTATTCTCCATCGCCACTTAAGGTGCCTTTCCGCACAGCGTGCTCAACATATTGGAGTTCTGAGCCCGCTAATGTAGGAATGCTGAACGGTATCATCATGGTGAATGTTTGGAACGGATTGTATGCCACCTTATGAATGAATGAATCTTCCTGCAAATAGCTCTGCAATGTCTACAAAGTGTACCGAGTGTATGGAGGGGTTCCAACTCAAGATCATGAATGTGCGCTAGTAAGCTTGGCTGCATGGCCTATTACTTTGTAAAGGCCTAACCAACCACTTAGCGATTACATAGACATCGAAAGTTGTATTTTTCCCAGCCAGTTTCCTGTAACGCTGTTCCCTAGAGCTTGCACTGGAAATTTGCCTGAAATCGAGCTTTTCGTTGGACCAACCTTTTCCCATTTATTTAACATTAAATCTGCCCAGAACCACAGGAACCAGTAAAAGGCACAGAGGGGTTCCTTCGAGAACCTGTCGAATTGATTGTTGGTATAAAGAGGAGAAGATTCATAGCGATCTCCTATGATTGGTCATGGGATACTCGTTTCTTGAATTGATCGGGTTAACAGTTGGAGTATTCGTGAGAGGACAGCATGTATATCAACTGGAAACATTAGAGTGGATGATCCATGTGTGCATCTGTCGGTATCTGAACGTCTGTATAACGTATTTCAATCAGTTAGCCACAGTTTGAGAAACGGATGAGTCTATCAGGGATTTAGGGATGACGCTTTGCATGTACATACTACTAGTAGCGAACCCTAGGTGGCCCGAGCTTTCTGCCCTAACTCCCTCATATGTATCATGTCGTTTCGTCTCCCCTGCTCCACGTTGAAAGAATAAATGACAAACTACTAGTATCAATGTTCTTGTATGTACGTACGCATGCTAGACGGCTCTTGTACGTCTTCAAGCTGGTAGGCCATTCGATTGATATTATGCATCTTGCAGATACAACTTAAGATGGCTAACACGGAGTAAACTCGCTTTATTGGGAGGTGAAGTGGCTCGACTTGATGTCCATAGTATATGATCTCCGTGTCAGCGCTGATGTAGACCAATACTTACAGTCAGGATTTCCGCTTGTTTAACGCTAATAAATGTAGACACCGCTACACTGGCAAGCACCTGCTGAATGGCTGTCTGGGCGGTGTCCGAGAGCCTGGGGGAATGGCAAGATAGCGTTGCTCGATCTTCATGCGAGGAGACTAGACAACGCGAGGTTTGACTCTACTGGAGATGGTTTCTTGATGCGTTGTCAGCATATGATGTTAGCCAGTCATCATTCTAGTCCTCTCTTTGACCGCACCAGTGACTGCACGTTGTTGCAGATCTTCAGTTGCTGTACTCGGTTTCTTAATACTGAGTCGAGCTGAAAGACCCGGCACAGGTTTGACAACTATGCAACAACGAGAATGGCTAATGAATACAGCGCTGGCAAGAGGAAAGAACGTGCTCTCGCATTCAGATATGAGCAGGTCCTTTACGTCTGCCATATTGGGCTGAGAGTAATGACATTTGTCAATGGCTGTACGATATTGCTCCTCGTGATCATATTTTGGGGGCATCAAACTCACTCTGATGCACACATAGCCACTTGCATTCTGAAAAGTCTGAAAGAATGCCTCCTCGAATCCTTTTCGCTCAGAGGGAGAATGAAAGATCTCAAAAAATGAGAGCGTTCTATGTCCACGATTTTTCGTCTTCTCCTACGCCTGTCCCCTTTGCGCGTCCTTAGACAGCAATAGCGCTTCCTTTTCTGATCAATAGAAGCCCAGACGTTGTGATACTGTTTGTCCTATTTGCGACTTCTTTTAATAGCATGATGCATCTATGTAAAAGGGAACGGGCTTATTGCAACGGTTTATGACGCAATATATCCCTGGTACGTGTCACCACACATATGGCAGTGAGCACAAGGGTTCCTCCGTCACAGGCCAGGTTCACTACAAAGCATGATAATTTCGCCGCGGCCTTCATTACACTGCCTTAAGGCCACGAAAAAAGTTTCATCTCCCTTGATCCTGAGAGACGGCATGGAATGCAGCCTTTTTGTCTACCGATTCGAGATACTTGTGACGATCATTTATGACGAACCTCTAGATATCATTACACCTATCTCCCTAACCACAGTCCTTGTGTCGACTCCGTTTCTTTGCTGACTTCTTCCTAGCGTTTTGAGACCTGGATCACACAGCCCTGCTGAATCCCGTCTCACTCCTTAGTACGTGTCGGGCCAAACATGTAACCCTACAAAAGACTGGAGCCATTCCGTTGACAGTGTATTCCTAGATCAAACACTTGCTGTCTGACCTTCCGACAAGATTGGTTTTCACATCTGATACACAACATTGACTCTAAGGGGTTCTTTCTCAGCACCATATATGGGAAGCCTACATAGTTAGGTCTTGCTTTTGTAATTCCGCATACACAACAAAAGATAGGGAACGAAGCCCTCGGTACAAAGGTCGTATGATGTCTACACAAAGATCGAACTTCATTGAGAGTACTATGTAGACAGACTAGATAGATATTTTTGTTTCTTTTGCCATTTGATGTGTCTAACGCAGGAAGAATAAATATCCTCCACTCCAACGCTGTTTAACGGGTCATCAAACAGTTGACTGGCCAAGCACGTCTATCTCGACTTTTTCCACAGCCTAGTATCATTCATGATGCCGACGAAAATATATATTGTTGTTTACAGAAGTCCTGAGGGTCGCCCTGATTACTTCAAAAATCGATCTGCAGCCCTCTGGCTTAAATTTTCTTCTATAGCCTACACTCTGTTTGGGCTGGAAGGCTCATATGGCGCCTTTTGGTTCAGCGAAAAGCCCCAGAACGATCCTCGAGAGCATAAAAGGCTTATAGGCCGAATAAAAGTTTCAACTATTGCAGATGGAAAAGCGCCAATAGGCAGGATCCAAGAAGTTGTCAGACGAACAGAAGTCAATAACAAGGTTGAAGATACCGGAGATTACGATTGCCGGAAATGGGTTTCCGATGCGCTCGGAAACCTGGAAAAGATTGGGTGCTTAACTGCGAATGAGCGTGATGTCGCTGTCGATGCTATGATGACACTTGTATCTCAGGCAAAGGATGAGGATAAAGCATACCCGTTTAGTATGTGCTGCCAATCTAACTTGTATCAAGATACTGATTGATCCTTAGATTGATCACTGCGAGAAGCGTTTTATCTATCTAGGGGTTAGATCAGGTGTTTTGGTGTCGCGCGGTAAGATTCTTCTCGGTGTACCCAAGTTGCATTATGAACATCTAGGGTATTTATTGGCATTTGTACATACGAGCGGAACGTAGGGCTCGTGGGCAAAAACGGTCTAGTACCACACGTGACATTTCTCAAGTGTATGGAGTATACATTACACGTATACTCCGTACACAGTACAGTTATGATGTTGTGGTGGAGCCTCGATGTATCATCTTTATCGTATTAGCCTATATGAAGCCAATAGAAGATACTTGGATAGACTTAGCATGTATGATCAACCTCTCCTACTACGGAGTACTACCATAGTATACCCGGAGTAGTACTATTGATGCTTCCACTGTCTATAAGCTGTACCTGTCTGGTAACCTAACAGAACCTTAAGAGCGACCGCGAATCCAAAATATCCCATGGAAAATGGACGTATCTTGTAGTGTCAAAGTCACGGGCTATTCTTAGCTTTTGGGCCCTGTCATAGTGGGTCACGTTGATAATCCCGTCTCTTAACGAGTTAACTATTTATTGATCAGTTTAAAGACGCGTCCAGGTCAACACCATTCCTCAGCCAACCCCTTTCATCGAACATACTTCTATCCTTCTGATTTCTTAGTTCCTTTCGGCCAGCATCAGTCCTGCTACAGCCTATTATGCCTGCCAAGCGTGCTAATTCAGCCTCTGCGGTGCAGCCCCGTCCGTCCAAGACTCCCAAGACCGATAAGAACAACGGCGACGCGTCCTCACAACCACAGCCGCGAAGCAAGCGCTGGCCAAAGGCCTGCGTCTCTGCCAACCTTGACGCCGACTATGCTAGGTTCGTGGCAGAAGACTATGATCATGCCTTTTCGTATGTCTGCTTTGCCCACCCTCTAATGCGACCGATGATGAAGACGACGACTGCGAGACGGTGAGCAGTGCAGATGAGGAGCCTAAAGACTCAGCAGAGGATATCAAGTCGAAACCCAAATGCGATGGCGGCAAAAAATGCCCTTGCCAGAAATCTCCCGCAGATCATCCCGGATATCCGTGGGTGGCCACTCGTGCAGGCCTGCGGAAATTCACAAGCCAGCATATTCATGCGGATATACGCTGCCCGGACGCTTTCAGCATGTATGTATACAATGACTTCGCAGGCTATGGGCTTGTAGAGGTCGCGCAAAACCTGGTCCTTGATTTTGTGGACGCCGAAGGCGACTGGAAAGAACAGTGGGCGGTCTGTGAGGCTGTGGGTCTCTCCATCATGGGCGACATGTTCATGCCTTTAGCACAGTACGTCAAGGATCCCCCTTTCTACGGAAGGTCTCTACTGACAGGTGCAGCATCTGCGATGGAGATCTCGCGAACGATACATACTGTCTGCTTTTGGCTATGTTCCTCACTATGCTTGCTAAGCTAGAGTCCCAGGAACTGCTTGGCCCTGACTCGGAAATCAAAAACCTGGGCTTGGTTATGGCGTTGTACATATGTACAGCTTCCGACATGCGCGACTACGGTATTTTCAAAGAGAATGACGATAAGACGAACAAGGTTGCAGCGTTCTATAACTCAGATCAAAAGATTCTAGCCTATGCTAAGAAATACAACATTGAGCTGCGCGGCCCGTCTAACATCGACAGTTGTGTTGAAGACATGGATGAAGTCGAATTACCACCTGCCAAAAAAGACCCTTGGGGATGGGCTGCCGTCCTTAAGCAGTATGAAAAACTCCACGGACAGCAGAGAAAGAAGCCTAAGATTGGAGGAATTCAATATGACATCACGGGGATGAGCAGTGCAGAACGCCGGGGGAGCAGCTTTGACGGCCAAGACCCTCTAAAAAAGGCAGAGCTCGACGCCATCAAGCAGGGTATGATTCTGCAACTAGCCTAGGATCATTGATGGCAACTGGCCAGGCAAATGACCAGACTACTCGATGTGTACATTTCACGCTATCTATTACATAGGCTTGTTTTATTTCGGGCGATATCCAGGAGGACCGGCCTTCAGGTCAATGAACACGTTTTTTCACGTCATTCTAATCTTTTACGGCTCTGCAACACGGCGATGTCGTGGTGGAACCTTGAGACTCGCCTTGCGAGGATTTGGGGCTTGAAACACCTCCTCCAGTTCTTCTAGGGTGCGCCCCTTGGTCTCAACAAAAAACAAGTAGATGAAAGCAAACTCGAAGCAGTCCCAGAAAACAAAGAAGACATAGAACCAGTACCCGATCTAGGATGAATTATCTTTAGCGCAAGGGGAACCTGGGTATACAGCTCGGAGTGTTATGTATGAACTTACGTCTGCCAGAGCGATCGGCGCTGCAAAGGTGTTGACAAAGCCTGCGGCACCTGCGGTGAGTTTGAATGTCCCCATACCCTTCGCCCGCATATCGTTTGACATGACTTCACCGGGATAGATAGGTTGCATGGAAGTAAAAGCGAACGCAAATACAACGCCGAAGATGTAAATAAAAGCGATCGAAGCTGACGATGCAGTCGTGCTGCCACTGTGAACGAAGACAGCGGCGGTTTCTGCTGTGACTGCCAAACAGATGACCATACCAGCTGTGGAACCAAGAAACATTTTCCGGCGGCCAACAATGTCATGGAAGCGCGTGCCAATCGTGGCTGCGACCCAACCAGTCAACGCATAGATAATGTTAAGCAGTAGCTGGGTGTCGGTATTGGTGACTCCAACATTTTTCAGCAGCGTTGGAAGGTAGTACGAGATCACGCTTTGCATGGAAAGTCAGTCGTCTTTCTCCCCTACCAAGAAGCACATACGAGCCGACTGACTTATTCCCAGAGAATTGTCCAAACCAGCTAAAGACCAGATTGAGCATGAGACGATATCGGCGAGAACGGGACTTGACAAGCACTGAAAGATCGAAGAAATCCCGCCAACGAGTGATCCCTTCTTGGTGTAAATTCTTCCTCATCTCATTCATCTCGAGCGCCACAATTGGATGTGAAGCGTCGCCGTTAGCATGATACTTTACGATGAAGGCCTGGGCCTCCTCATGGCGATCCTTTGCAATGAGCCTGTACATTTTTAACAGTCGTCCTTTTTTTCAGAGGGGGCTAACCAACCAGCGGGGTGATTCTGGGACAAACCAGACACCCAAGCAGACAATTCCAGGGCATACCATCTGGAGCCAGAGTGGAAGGCGCCAGTCAAGGTGGCCGCGGTGTGCCAAGTGTAGATGGGCGCCATACACGGATGAAGTCGCCAGTATTGAGCCCTAGTAAGACAATCAGATGGTCCTCTTCTTTTCAGAACGGGGGCTGGATTGGTAACGTACAACGTAGTAAAGTGTGTTGTACATTCCAGCTACGCTCGCACGATACTGAGGAGGGGCAATCTCGACGAGCAACAAGGGAGAGGCTGTATGAGCGCAAGTCGCAAAGAAGGACAACAGGAATCTCCCCCCGATAAAGACGCTTAGCTTCTCCGCTGTACTGGTGACAACCGTGGCGATACAGACCCCGAGACAGCCGACAAAGATATGCGTTCGTCGCCCCCGCCAATCTGCCATTTAGATGAAGAGTGCACCTGCCATCTGGCCAATCTAATAGAGGACAGTCAGCTTTTCCAACTGTCTTCTACAGACAGTTACTCTCACCTGGAATATGGAGAAAACAATCCCAGTGCTCACGGAGCCCTTATTTGGAAGATTATAATACTCGGTATAGTTCGGAAGAGCATTGATAGAGCCCATGAGACTCGTGTCGTATCCTGAACCCAGCATTAGCTACCTGTCATGGATAATCATGAGAATCGAGATACTCACCATTCATAGTAGAGCACAGGAAAACCAAAGCAGACATATAATATAATTTTCTATACCCCGAGCCCCATGGATCGGGACGGTTTCCTTGAAGAACTTCTGCCAGGGTACGGGGATCTCCTTGATCTTTGCTATTGGACAGGCCAGCTGATTCAGGGTGCTCAGGCTCAGGTGGTTCCATGCTATGGTCTTTACTTCTCTTTTTCTCAGCCATGCTGTCAGATCGCAGGATTTCGATGCAAGTCAAACTGGAATGCAGATAATAATACGTCCCAAGCGGTGTTCCTGGGCATGTTTTATAGTGCCCCGACACCTAGGATACATCCCCACGGGGAAGCCTTTGCCAAGGACAGAATGCCTATCCCCACATTCTCCCATCTTCGCATTACTTTGCTGCCAATAGCATGAGACTAGGTGGCTGTGAACCCAGTTGGTTGGAGTTTAGTCCGGATGACAAGATTAATTACCTCCCGGTACCACCGATTACTAGTGCTATCAATGTTGAGATATGCCTTGTCAGAAGCGTGGGGGCACAGGGTTTCTTCTCAGGTGTTGCGAACAATAACGAAAGGCGTTGCAGCACCAGCTTCCCTTGACCACTGACGCCGTGTCAGATCAAACCCGTCGGTTGTCTTGTTAGGTCATTCAAACCTTTGCTATGATAGAGCTCGCGGAAGGTAAATCATTGAATTCTTGCTCTGACTGGAAAGTATGTGGGCAAAAGTAACCGACGTGACTTAGTTGCCAAACACAACTCCGCCGATAGTTGCTGGGTTGTCCTCTACGGCAAAGTATACGACGTGAGTAGAACCTGACACCTTTCTCATCAGGGCGCATTCCAATTAACAATTTTAGGTCACTAACTTTCTCGGAAATCATCCCGGGGGGTCTGCGGCCATCCTAGCCCTAGCTGGGAAAGATGCAACCCAGCAGTATGATACCATACACCCCCCAGGCCTATTAGAAGAGTACCTTGCTCCTGAGGCATGCTTGGGTGTACTATCGGCATCAACGTCAGAGGCGGCAGAGCCAACAAACATCTCTCAACACCCAGCATCCAAAGAGACTTCTGAAGCGCCACTATCATCACTGTTAAACCTCGCCGAGATTGAACAAGTTGCCAAACGAAAACTCAGCCCAAAAGGGTGGGCATATTACTCCTCTGCAACAGACGACGGCATCACAAAAGCGCACAACAATCTCATCTACCGTTCGATCTTACTAAGACCAAGGGTTTTCATAGACTGCCGCGAATGCGATCTTTCCATCCGGTTCCTCGGCCTCAAGCTCGGACTACCGGTCTACATATCTCCAGCAGCAATGGCTCGTCTCGCCCACCCACAAGGCGAAGCCGGCATTGCAGCAGCGTGCCAAAAGTTCGGAGCGATGCAACTTATCTCCCACAACGCCTCGATGACCACACAGGAAATTGTCGCAAACGCCCATCCAGACCAAGTCTTCGGCTGGCAACTATATTGCTTAAAAGACGTGAAGCGTAGCGAGAAGCGGATTGCCGAAATCAACTCAATCAAGGCCATCAAATTCATCTGTCTCACGCTTGACGCTCCGTTCCCCGGTAAACGCGAGATCGAGGAGCGACAAAAGATGGAAGAGCTGCGCATCGCTGGCACGGCTTCGTCGCCCCAGGTCTGGGGAACCGATGCCTCGCTCACGTGGGAGAGAACGCTCGATTGGCTCCGGATGCATACATCCCTGCCGATTATTCTGAAGGGTATTCAGACTTATGAGGACGCTATCCTCGCCGCTAAACATGCTCCCCAGGTCCGGGGTATTGTACTTTCGAACCACGGTGGCCGCGCATTGGACACCGTGTCGACTCCGGTGCATGTCCTACTGGAGATTAGGCGCTTCTGTCCAGAGGTCTTGGATCGATTGGATGTCATCGTTGACGGTGGCATCCGAAGAGGGACGGATGTCGTCAAGGCTCTGGCACTTGGTGCCAAGGCTGTGGGGATTGGACGAGCAGCTTTGTATGGTCTTGCAGCGGGTGGGCAAGAGGGTGTCAAAAGGACACTGCAGAGTAGGTTTATCACAATCGCTGAACATATAGCGAGCTTATCATGATTCATAACTGATTTGTCCAGTCCTTGCCGACGAGACAGCAACTGCTATGAGACTTCTCGGTGTTCAACGTGTTGACCAGCTGTCATTGCAACATGTGGGTTGCCACATCCTGACCATTATATAATTACTAAACTCAGTCCAGGTAAATACCCAGCTCGTGGACTCACAGACCGTCGACTCCGGAAGCTCGATGTGGAATCCAAAGTCAGTTGAGAGTGCATTTCCAGCCCGCGCCAAGATCTGAGCTTTAATGCTTTCGACATACATGATAGAACCCGTGAGATAGTTCCAATAAGCTCAAATAACCACGTAAATGCAAATCTACCATAGTCAACTACCATAAATCGAGTTTCCCTAGAATATGAGGTGATCAAAACCAAAGTAAGCAACAGGAAATGTAACCTTTCTTCCAGAATCATCCTCTAGAAACCAGTTCACATAATAGCGATTCTACATCCCCGGTCAATTAGAGTCAACCCAACCACTGCAATCCTCTGCAACCCTCATGGCAGCTCCACTACTCCACACAATGACCCCCATAGAATAGATTACGCACTAACCGTACGGCCTTGGTATCCTGATACGTGGATATAAGTCTCCGTGTCTGATACGGTATGGCTCATGCATGAGGATGATCCACTAAACCAATCTCGCACGCGGTTTTGAAATGCCGTGTGCCATGTAGACGTGGGATTTGGAGTTGGCTGCGTAGTACTTTGTCATAGTGAGATATGTCTTATTGGCTGTAAGAGGCCAAGATCATTATCATTTGGCAACTATGGCTGATTGGATTTTGCGGGGTCAATCTGGCGGGGGAGGGGCAGTGGGGTTCACTATGGATATACAACATATTGATGTTTATGATGCTATTTTTTTTCTCCCTTATGTTTTCTGTTGAACCTTTGTATAAACAAGTTCACTAGATCTAGCACTTCAGCTACTGCAGGCTTTTGGTGGATGAGTACAACAACAGCAATGTCCAGCTTCAAGTCGCTCGAGCTCTCCCAGGGCTGGCAATTCCGGGATGCCAGCGATAGCAGTCCAGAAGCATGGCGTAGCGTTTCCAACGTACCAACCGTTGTACACCTCGACCTCATCAGCCACGGTGTCATACCCGACCCGTTTGTCGGGATGAACGAGCTTCAGGTGCAGTGGGTGGGTGAGCGGGACTGGGTATATCAGGTCAAGTTTGTGACACCAAAACTTGAGGCCGGCCAACGATGTGATCTCCTCTTCGAAGGCCTCGATACTATCGCGACTGTCAAGTTGAACGGTGAAACCATCCTTGAGAGCGATAATATGTTTGTTCCCCATCGGGTTGATATTACGAACCATTTGGTACCGGAATCCTGCAGCATCATGACGCTTGATATCTTGTTTGAGTCTGCTCTGCTGTGTGGGCGGGAGCGTGTTAAGCAGCATCCCGAACACCAGTTCATTACACATCAAACCGAAGCTGGGCGGAGTTCGGTCCGAAAGGCTGGGTATCACTGGGGCTGGGATTGGGGTCCTATTTTGATGACAGCTGGGCCGTGGAGACCAGTTCGGTTAGAGACCTACACGGCTAGGGTGGAGGACCTTTGGGTTGAGAGCGAAGTAAGCCAAGATCTGAAGTTATGTCGAGGTCGTCTTAAGGCCCAAGTTTCTGGGAGGCCAGGAAGTAGCATTCGCTTCAAGATTCTGCTCCGGGGTAATGTGCTTTTGGAGTCTGAAGTAGGTGCTACGGAGAATGGGTTTGCAGAGACAGAATTCGTGATCCAAGACCCAGCATTATGGTATCCGCGCGGATATGGCCGGCAGGATCTGTACGAAATCTCTGTTAAACTCATTGACAATCATGAGGTACAACATGAGGTCTCCAAGTTAACCGGGTTCAGGAGTGTAGAGCTTGTGCAAGAGAAAGACAGACACGGCCAATCCTTCTTTTTCAGGATTAATGGTATTGACACTTTTGCCGGCGGCTCATGCTGGATACCGGGTGACAGCTTCTTGCCTCGATTGACTCCCGAAAAGTACAGGAAATGGCTTGAATTGTTGCCAGAGGGAAATCAGAATATGATCCGGTAAGTCCTTTGCATCATCACCTTGAAGCCTTAGCTGCCATTGACGGGTGATCAGCATCTGGGGCGGCGGGATCTTTGAACCCTCCACCTTCTACGCCACTTGTGACGAGCTCGGGATCTTAGTCTGGCAAGACTTCATGTTTGCATGCGCTTCATATCCCACCTATCCATCCTTTTTGTCGTCTATCGAGGAAGAAGCACGTGTAAACGTCAGGCGTCTTCGCCATCACCCCTCCATCGTGATCTACGCAGGAAGTAATGAAGACTACCAGATTCAAGAAAAATACCATCTCGACTATAACTTTGAGACTGATAAGGATCCGCAGTCCTGGCTCAAGTCAACATTTCCTGCCAGGTACACTTATGAGTACCTATTGCCGAAGGTTGTAGAGGAAGAATCAGCCGCGACACCGTACCACCCAACAAGTCCCTGGGGAGGAGGAAAGCATTCAGCAGATCCAACAATAGGAGATATCCATCAGTGGAACAGTCTGTCACAACTCCCCTATAATGAAAGCTTTCACTAATGTCAACACAGTCTGGCACGGAACAATGTTGTCTTATCAAACCTTTCCAGAAGTTGGCGGGCGATTTGTCAGTGAATTCGGAATGGAGGCGTTCCCGCATCGAGCGACAATCGACCAATTTATTGTGGATGAAGATGAGATGTACCATCAGTCTCTCACCATGGACTTCCACAACAAGGCCAGGGACCATGAGCGACGACTCGGCACTTACATCCTGGAGAATTTCCGACTCAAATCTGATTTTCAGGTAGGTAGATGGGAGTTTTCTGCCTCGATGCTGAAAAGAAAAGCTACAAAGTGCTAACTAGATATGTTTCATAAGTCATACGTACATCTCTCTCAGATTGCTCAATCCGACGCTATGAAATTTGCGTATCAAGGCTGGCGCCGACAATGGGGTCACGACCGTCTCTGTGGTGGAGCCCTGGTTTGGCAACTAAACGACTGTTGGCCGACGACCTCATGGGCGGTGGTGGACTATTTTTTGCGAAAGAAGCCTGCATTCTATGTCATATCGCGGACTTTGGATCCAGTTGCAGTTGGGGTTTCCAGGGCTCACAAGGAATGGACATCTGGGCATGCCAAGCCTGCAGACTCAACGAGATATGAGCTTTGGGCGGTGACCAGCCATCTGAAGCCAATCCGCGCTATGTTAAGCTTACGCTTCATATCAATCCGAACGGGTGCAGATGTGCAGCCAGAAGTTTCGTACGAGGTTGTTCTCGTTCCAAATGGTACGACAGAAGTAGCAAGCGGGGATTTGAGTTTAAAAGACACGGATGCATTTGTGCTGAGCGCCACCCTGAGTATTGATGATCAGGTAATTAGTCGAGACATGGATTGGCCGCAGCCTTACAAGTACCTCTCATTCCGAGATCGGGGTCTAGAGGTCAAACTTCTTCCTGCAGAGGACGCGCTGTCCGTCACAGTCAAAAAGCCAGTCAAAGGTTTGGTCTTTGAGGAGACAGATGGCGTTTGGCTGCAAGATAACGGAATCGATATATCCCCTGGCTATGAGCACATCATTGCCGTCCGTGGAATTCGTAGTTCCTCCGATATTCCACGTTGGACGTACATCGGGGATGATAGCCTATGATATCCATTATTTGTTGCTGAATGTAGATAGTCAATCTTCTATATTGGGGGTGAGGGTCTTCTCCCAGTGTATTAGAGATTCCCATTCGTAGTCATATTCAAAGCCTCCTGCGGCGAGAGTCCAAAATTCCATATCCATCTCCCCTAATGCTGTTAGGATTCCGCTACTCGCCTCGAGTGCTGTTACATTCCTGCTGGCTTCGTAAATACTTTCAACCACGTCATATGACCGTCGGGCAGCTGCATTCCAGGGCATAAATGACTTGAAAGCTGCAAGAGCTTGGTCAATTTCTGAATGACAAGACAGTAGTTCCGGTTGGCATGGGAAAGCGAGCAACATCATCAAAGGGACAAGGCAGGACTGGTAAAGATACCAGGTACTGCCCCATACCCAAAATGAGTTGGGTCGCATACAACATGCAATGTTGCGAATAGCTTCAAGGCTAACTTTTTGACAATTGACGATAGCTTCTCTGTCATCCTCTGCCAAATCCTCGAATTGTGTCTTATTTTCCACATGGCGCAGAAGTACAGGCCGGAGTAAAAGAATTCGGGCGTTCATATACCGATTCCGCAAGTAGTCTCTGACAACAACAAAATCATCTGGGCAGTTTCCAGGCGAGATAGCCGTTAAAGCTTCATCGTACCAGCTTCTAAGAGCAGTATCAAAAGTATTGATTTCACCAATCGTAGGCGGATCTGATTGGGCAAGTCGTTTTTGGATTTCAGTGGCTAGTTTGCAAAAGTCCACATTCGCTCTAAATGCATTGATAATCATATCCGGATGACTTTGGCTCTTGTCATATCTCGGTAGCGATACATCCATCGCGTCTGGATCCCATCTGCCAAATGTTGGCCGCCCGAGGGTCATGGATGCCCAGGTATCCAGACAAAAGAGGCTCCACCACGTACGCCGTCGGGCTTCGGCACTTGTCAAATGATTTTTCAAATCATCTTGAGTTTCGCTTTCCTCTACAGGCTCCTTATGGAGACCAAGTGCGGTTGTCATCCGAAATGCGGCGCCTAGAACAGCACTGGCCATATTTGGCGTATTTCGGTAGTGTAGATAGTATCCTCCCAAAAGACACAGAGCTTGCAGACTCTCGATAGAAGCGGATCCGAAGCTCTCAAGACCGATGTGCTGTCGTGCGGACTCATAATAAGCATGACTGTATCGGCTTCCCTCCTTGCTAGTAGCGATTGATCCCACCACGAGTACCATGCTACGGAGAGCAAGCCAACCAGCATCTTTTCGAGCTCCACTATTGTATACTCTGCGGAACTGTGTCTCATCAATCATTGGGGTAATGGAATTGGCAGTCTTGAAATATGCATCTATACAGGCCACCTCATTGAACATGCTAACGGGCGATGGTCTACTGTCTTCCCGAGGTCCTTGCGAATATGATTGGGGCTGAAACTCCAAACGACATTTCTTCTGATAGAGTACCGTTCTTACCGTAGGCCATCGCTCAACGATGAGACGTAGGATAAACCTGACTGATGATATCCCCAGACTGGTCTGCTGTTGATCAAATGAGAGTGACAGGCCGTTGACATCATCGTAGACATTCGATGTGCCCTTCGATAACTTTCGATTCTCCTCGAGTTGGTGGTCCTCATCACTATGGTCGCTCTCTCTAGTCACTGTGGTATTTTGCTCAGTTGCTGCGGTGGCGTCCCGCGTCCGTCCTTCAGCTGCGATGACTTGCAATAGTTCTTCTCGAGAGAGAGGAACGAGGGTTTCTATGGGACTAGAAGGGAAAAGCTTCTGCAAGATGATGCGCTGATGATTCACAGTCCGGGTTAATTCTTCAGCTGACCTTGACCGAAGTCAGTATAGATCAGACTAAGGCTGACGAGGTAATTTATGTACTTGACGGAAACACCATGCCTTTTCAAACGGTGAGGGTACTCGCACCGTCCTTCTACTTTGTACCACTTACAGTTCCCACATGGAAGCTCACCATTACAGCGAATCTTCCGTCGGCGACACTCCACACAAGATCGATTAACTTTTGGCCCAGAACGGGTGTCCTTTCTAAGATCCGAGCCTTGTGTGACCGACTGCCTAACGAAATCACTGGAAGTATGAAACATGGCGTTCTAATAGCTGAGAGGAGGTATCTTTCTGGAGGTGCCATTTAGTTGTTAGTGGACATGCATTGTGAAAGAGTCGCCGAATTGCAATGGCATCCGCCAAGATAGGTTAACTGTATCCGGCAGGTGACCTGACCCGTAGGTAGTACGCTTAAGGTACCCGTGACGCCTGGACTATCAACCCAGCTATCGATACGAGATAGTATCACCACGTCTATACTATTGACTACTAGTGTTAAATATGATGTCAGAAGTTGCTACTATGTTTATTATCTATTAAGCCAGCTCCACCGCATCTCTTTCTATTCTCGTTGATGATAAGGATATCCGTTCATTATGGAATATCATCTATCTGTACTGTATTATTTTCTTTTCTCGAAAAGTGGGGGAAAGTTCTGCCCAGCTAGTTTTAGAACTGTTCATGTTAGCCTGGGCAGGTCTGGCGACGACAGAGGCTACTATAACTAGAGTAGAGTATCTAGTGGGCCTGAGACTGGAGAGCCGGGACTCGGATGTCTGCCTCAGATGCCGAGTTGCTACTCCGTCCAGAATGTCTAGTTTCTAGAACAGTCGATGTCTTGACAGATGTGTAATAGGCACCCTCGACTATACAGGGATTATGAAAGATATTCATGTCATTTGAGACTGCATAAGCACCCAGTGCTTCACAGCATGTGAACCAAAAAGAGTATGTACAGTTCTTGGCAGGTTCCTCTCCCCGAGGCCCGTTGCCCGAGGCTAGTACTGTGTAGATCCTCTGGGTTGATGTGGGCTGTTACAAGTATTTGGAATTCTGGAAAAGAGATGAGACCCGCAAGCCATGCTTTTTGATCAACTTTAATTAATTCTTATTTTATGCACACAAGATCACTAATCAGATACTAGATTCCTAGTTCCACCCCCACAAGAACCCACGGATCAAATGATGGGAAGTCGATTACAGTGCGTGTTCAACAGTCTGGACTGGAAAAGATGACAAAGATGACCAATCCGGTTAGCCGGAAGATGCATTTCCGTTGACGAATTGTACCAAACAGGCAAATCACCCGCAGCACGATGATGACATACCGGCTCGGCGTCTTCCTTCCTCCGTCACGCCCCTCACGTACTTCGTCCTCAAAACCTCATGATCAGTGTATAAAACCACGCCATTCCTACCCTCGGAGCATGCGATCAACCTTATCGTCTGCATCCATCGTCTTACGTGCTGTATCATCTCAGAAACCGCCTATCTACCTCCTCGCGCATATAACCAGCCCTGTCGCAAGGTCGCAGAGCAGGTATTCTTCGTCAACGCTGTCAAGCTCCGCTAAGCTACTCAAGCATCAACAACCTCGTTTGAGCGCATTTCATACGCACACCATGGCCTCCGCAACCACCTTCTTCGACTTTGAACCAGTCGACAGTACGTTTTTGCTGATAAGCTCCTGGTCGATCCCCTGTATAACATATAGGAACATTACTAACAGACCTCCTTGCAAATAGAGAAAGGCTCTCCTTTCCCTCTCACCCCGCTTAAGGGCAAGACCATCCTCGTCGTCAATACTGCCTCAAAGTGCGGCTTTACCCCCCAGTTCGAAGGCCTCGAGAAACTCTACCAGAAACTCAAGACCAAGTACCCCGAAGACTTTACTATCCTCGGATTCCCTTGCAACCAGTTCGGCGGCCAAGACCCCGGATCCAACGATGATATTCAGTCTTTTTGCCAGTTGAACTACGGTGTTACGTTCCCCGTGTTGGGTAAACTGGATGTGAACGGAAACGAGGCCTCACCCCTGTGGACCTGGATGAAGGAGCAGCAACCCGGCCTGCTGGGCCTGAAACGCATCAAGTGGAACTTCGAAAAGTTCCTGATCTCTCCCGATGGCAAGGTTGCCGGTCGCTGGGCTAGTACCACCAAGCCCGAGTCACTGGAAGACGCCATCGTCAAGGAGATTGAGAAGTCACAGAAGAATGGAACTGCAGCTTCGGCCCAGGCTAAGGAGGGAGAGTCTGAGCAGGCTAAGTTGTCGTAATTTAGTTTTTCGGGGATTGGGGGTCCATATGTTATACCATGCTTCGTTACATGTATCTTAGTAGTGCTTCTTGTATGTACTTTTTTTCTTCAGGGCACTTCCAGCCCACTATCATGAGACTAATGTCATGAGATTATAAACTAATCGCCATTATGCATTAATCTACGTATGCTGTTGTTCATCTACAAACTAGGCGTTATCACTACCCTTCGGGATCAGGTTCCGCAAAGAAAGGTCGTACACAACATCCTCAACCTTCTTGACCTGCACGGAGGTGTTAGCATTTATCCATTACATAATTTCCGGTATTAGATAAACTTACACTGTATTTAATCCCATCACTTCTCTTGCGCAGGATGTCGTTCTTCAGGTTCAAGAGCTGGAACCCAGCAAACAGATCCTTGATGAAACTTCCGATCTGCACCGGCCGAGTGTAATCCCCAAGAGTGACCGAGTTAACAGCAAGACGCGACTATAAAAGTCAGTAAATTCTAAGACAAGCAGACAATGAAAAGGAGATGAACCAACCAGTTCTTCGACCATGGAAATCAGAGCGAGCAGATACTCTTCGATCGTGAGATGGAACGCATCTTGTTCCTTGAGGTTGACGGGGACTAAACACCCACATTAGCATCAATTAAGCAAACTCAGAGACAGCCATCATAGGCCAAGGACGTGAATCCCTTGTGCAAGGAACATACTACCAAGGAACTTCCCAACCTCCTCAATAGTCAGGAACGACGCAGCGCTGCTGCTCTTGTACTCCTCAAGCCCGCCCAAGTAGGCACAGAGCTCAATCGACGATACCTGATTCACTGTGTTAGCCCTCATTACTATATCTCGCTAGGAAGGATATACAACAAACCAGATTCTGCAGTTCGCGAGTCCACACGCCGTTATATTTGTAGAACGGGTGCTTGTCAGCCAAGGCCTTGAGCCGAGTGACTTGTTCTTTCTGGGCGAGGATTTCCTTTGTCGCCTCATCGAGGACAGGTTTCACTGATCTTGTTAGCGTATTAATCCTTTTTCTTCTTTTGAGGGAGCTACTTACACTGATTTGAGGGTGTGGAATGAGCTCGAGAGAGAATAGCCGTTGTGGAGCGTCCTGTTCTGATATGTTAACTGAATCTCTGGGCATATTTCTTCCCATCATATGAAGTGGAAACAGGGAAATTATAACATTGACGCGACGGACCATTTCTAGCAAGCGTCTGGACTATCTCATGGAGTTCCTGGTAATAGGTCAGATTGAGACTTCTCTGAAGCTCGAGCGGGAAAAGGCTTGGCACTTGCATCGCGGACGGCAGCTTCTTCGTCGATCTTGGACTGAAGGCTCTCGAAAATGGTACGGTCGATCATTTTGTTTTTTACTGGTGTTTTGGTTGAGTGGCTTTGTTGTTCTATATTTTCTTGTTGTAGGTGGGATTGAATTGATGCGGATGGACGGCCTTACGTCAGGTAAAAATAAAGTGAAGAGATTGTGGGGCCTGAGGCTGTCCGCGTTGCTGGCCGTACTTGGATGAATCTTCAATCTCTATAAACTACAGTCTAATGGTTAAAAGACGCAACATACTCATTCAATAGCCAATATCCATTGGCATCATTGATTGTTACGGTATAGTTACGAAGCATACTAAAATATACATGATCTATAAGGTAGATGGAAATCTATCGGGTATTCTATGGGCATATATATATTCTCTACTACGTAATATCCTATTGCAACCATACTGAGATAGGTCCAGGGATCACGCTTACAATATAAGACTGAGAACCCAAGTATACGTCATGAACATTTTTCATTATCTTGATATTGAGCCCAAGAACATAGAGCAGCAGCCCAGCCAACGACTGAGCAAATCAGTACCGATACCTCGTCGAGTAATCTACAAATTGATTAGCTCTACATCAATCCGAATACTTGAAAGTTGCAACTCACCCTTCGGGCTAACCACGAGACCTCGTCCCTTCTTAGCACCCTTGTAAATCGTCTCAAGAATATCGATCAACTCTTGCTTATCCTCGAGCACCCAGTTCAATTTATTATTGTTACCGGTACCGAAATCACACATCATGTGTTTGTTCCTATAGAAGAACATGATGGTCATTGGATCGAAGAGTTCGTACATGGTGTTGAACTCAGGGACCTCGTCAATGTCGCAGAGGTAAATCACAGCGAAATCTGGATGGAATGTTAGGTATTTGTTTATTTCACAAGTACACTTCGTGCGCAGCAGAGCTGGCTTGGAGCTGGAGCTGAAGTTTTTTTTATCTGATAGTTGGGTGAGGGTGCCCGGCTCACTTTTGACCCGTTCAGCGATTTTGAAGAGGACTTCATCTTGGCGCATGCCTGGAGGACGGTTAGGGTATCGTTGTAACCTGTACATATAGCGAAAGGACTTACAGTCGACATCATGGTCGCGGCCAAATCGAATGACCTGTCCGTTCTTGTCAGTCTGGGCATATTTGGGAACGCGACTGCTAACTAGGTACGTACTACGAGTCGTTCTTCTTCAGAGAGAATGGCCTGGTCGACGTGCCAAGCGGTACGCAAGTGCGGCAGGACGACAGAACCCATCTCGACGGTATGGAGTTATTGAGCGAAGAGTGATGTATATCAAAAAGTGATTGGAACGTAACTTGGGTAGGAAACGATACTCAATATCACGTGCAACAATATTTATCGACTACGAGTATCTCTAAAGATGCGGTGCATCACGTTTGGGAGCTATATATATATACATTTACTAAATGTGATCAAAGTTGATATAATCTACTATAGCCTTCTTCTCCAAGCAGCCGGATATACCGACCAAATTGATGAAAAAGAGTTCGCGTCTATCGGGGATAGTGTAAGCCCGATGACACTGTGTGGCAAGGCATGCGCAAGCACAGGGGCCCTGCCACGGAGACCAAAAATAAGATTAATCAATGTTGTGTTCCTATGGAACACTTTCAGAGATTAAACTGAAAAGAACAGATACTACACTTGATCTAAGCCAAAAGGCAAAGAGAGCTGGAAAAGAAAAGAAAAAAATTCTAAAGAGCGGGAGGTCTGCAACGTATTTAAAGAAAAGGGCTATTGGCCCGTGCGCCGCTAGTCAGCTAGTGTCTTCTTGCTTGGTTAAGCGAGAAGACAAACTAGACAAACTATTACTAATAAGGGCAATGGTCAGATGATAACTGTATACCCTAATCGCCATGCAGCCCTAGTATGACTTCCCAATCCGGGTTAGTCACTCGCACTCGCCGGTGGGATTATCGAAGGCTCCACTAGCGAGAAGTTTTGATCTCCATCCCTCTGCTATCTTCGTTCCAGGCGCAGGATACTCATCTCTTTGCGACCAAGACTCCCTCGTCACCAACCCCCCTCAAATCAATCACAATGTCTCCCGCTACTGTATGTTGTCAATCCTGAAACTGCTTTGCTGTTCCCCCTGAGACGGCTGCCAGATGGTCTCTTCACATTTGCTTGTGCAGGATACCGTCTTGGACTCCCTGGGGATTCGACATTATGGAACAGTAGGCTAATCGCAAAACTCCGGTGAATAGGCTCGTGGTCGTAAGGCCCAGAAGGTTACCCAGAAGGTATGTCGAGGAATTGATTCGCAAGCTAATCAAACAATTCGATGATGGCTAACATACTATCTCTGTAGTATGTCATCAACGCTTCTCAGCCCGTCGGCGACAAGATCTTCGACATCTCCGCTTTCGAGAAGTTCCTTCACGACCGCATCAAGGTCGAGGGCCGTGTCGGCAACCTCGGTGACAAGGTCGTCATCTCCCAGGTCGGTGATGGCAAGATCGAGGTTGTTGCCCACATCCCCTTCTCTGGTCGCTACCTCAAGTACTTGTAAGTTACCTTGCATCCGTCGCATGATACCCGCTACCATGATGCTGACGGCCATCCAGGACCAAGAAGTACCTCAAGAAGCAGCAGCTCCGTGACTGGCTCCGCGTTGTCGCCACCTCCAAGGGTGTCTACGAGCTCCGCTTCTACAACGTCGCCAGCGAGGAGGCTGACGAGGATGAGGAGTAAATGTCTCCTCTCGGATAAAAATTAAAAAATCGACCAGGCTCGAGTGCGCTCACATCAGGGGGTTTCCATATCTGGACGGGAGCGATATCTTAATGGGAGTCGGTGCTTTGGGTCGGGTTTGGAGGGTTATAGATGCGGTTGGTCGGGAGCGCTCCGACACGGCTCTGCGGCGTGATATGCCCGCCGGGTTGCCTCAACCTGAAAAGGCGGCATTCCATGGCTAGCCTCGTCGCATCCAACGTGTTGGTGTAATACTTCTACTCATGACGTTACGACGGGTAGATTTGAATTGATCCATCTATCACTCATTTACTCCTTGTTATCGATGTAGATTGCATAGAAATTGCCTTTTGCCGGGTATCATGTAGTAACAATCAGCTATAATGTGGGAGTCCTAAGTTAACCTAAATCTGAACTGGTCCTCTTCTGCCCGGCTCCAGGTCCAAGTCGCCATATCGGACCAGTGTCGTCTGTTGCACCGGGAGGAGGGACAAGTTTACCATCCTGAATAATCCATCCCTTCGTCTTTAACACCTTCCAAGATTCTGCGGCCTTGACCCGGACCAAGTCACCGGTGGCAATCGCATCCTCTTTGGAATCATGACCACGGTTCCCTCCAGTCTGGATGTGCCTATCAAGGTATTTTCTGGATAGGGTTTTGAGACTCATGCGGTTGGGTAGGCCTGCTCCGACTGGGTATAGTATAACGGTATCAATAACGGTAGGATGGATAATACGGCAAACGTTGAGGTCATTGTCAATGGCATGGCCTATTAGAGGTGTCTCTGGTTGTAGCAGCTGGAACAACAAAGCCCTTGCTGCTGCGGGAGATTCGACTACCTGTAAAGGAGTTAATTTTACCTCTCCATCCTCGCTGGCAGATGAAATAGCCGGCACAACTGAGCCATCATGGGGGGCCGCGTTATTATAATGTTCGGGGAAGACACCAGAAAACCGGGAGTTCAGGTCAAGAATCTCCCCCATAGGCCTGACAATAACATCGAGGAGCTCCTTGCCCTCGGGCCAACTAACAGCCGTGAGCCGGATCAGCTCCAGCCCCAAGGTAGTATATCCCATCTCACAGTCGAAACATACTGGTGGAAGGGGGCCCTTGTCTGGTTGCGCCGGAGTCTTCTCGAACTGAAGGATGGACGCTAGTCGCTTGGCCTCCGACACCTTGAAGACATGGGTATCGCCTTTGGTGCATCCAGAAGAAGTTCCCAGGGTCTCATTGCAGCAGGTGAAATAGGCCTCCTTATGGCCAGTGATATGGTCTGTCCGCTTCTTCGGGGGGTAAAACGGCTTGCCAGGGTGGTATGTGCACTGCCCTCCTGTTGTCAACGAACCATCCTCACGGCGGCCAGGAAAGACCTGGAATCTCCCACCACATCGATCACACTTTTCCCATCCTTTAGAATCAATGACCCCTTTCATTGCGCCCTCAATCTCCTCGTCTGTGGGTGGTTTGGTCACATAACCATATTGTTCCAATCCTATAAGAGGCGTGACTAGTCTTCCTGCAATTGCTATTTCCTCTTTGATGCTCAGGCCAGTTGTAAGAACAGTAGGCTTCTGGTCTGCTTCATTAGGCGCTGTCTTGTAGTATCTCTCATTGAGATAAGCTTTGACCTCTTTCACCCAATCTTCTTTGCTCATCTTCGAGAGTTTGACAATGCGGAGTTTGATTACGTTGCCGTATACACTCGCATTCCCTTTTGCCGTCTTTTCCTCTTCATCTAGAGCCATCGTGATGAGTTCGTTGGGGGTTAAGGCTATGCTTTTATCTTTATTTTCTTTGTCCTTCGCTATCTTGTCATTCAAGGCTGACATAGCAGCATGAAGCTTCGTCAAAATAGATAGCCGCACGCCATGAGACACCGGCGCTTTCGCCAACATCCTAGGATTCAGACTCTCGCGGGGAGCTTTGCGTAGCGGAGGACGTTGCTCCGGTTTTGCAGACGATGATGCCTCGCGCTTCGCTGTTGAAGGTTCGGCCTTAGAAGGAGGTGGAGAGACACCTCTGGATATAGACTTAAGTTTCGCAGGGGTTTGAATTGTTGTTTGGGCCTTAGCGCTGGCCTTCTTTGTCGGTGTAGCTTTTTGATCACTAGTTTTGTTCTGAAGCGAAGATGAAGGCTTGTCTTCCTTCTTGGCACTGCCAGCCTCGGCCGTTGCCTGAAGCTTCTGTTTCTTCAGGGGCGGAGACTCCTGGGTAGTCGTGGGCTCCTTTTCTGACTGCGTACTCTTGGCGCTTTTGTCGACCTCTGCGGGTGGGTTGGTAATTTCGTGAGAAAACATGCAAGTCAAGAGAGCGCATTCCTGGCCCTGAGGACAGGGGACATCCTTGAACAAGCCAAGCGGAGTAAACATTGTGATTGTATCAAGGTTGTAGTAGGCTGATCATAAATGAAAGAAATGCGAACTGATAGCATAAATACGGTCGAGATATTTAGGCTCTTACTCCTGAGGCCTTGCTGAGGTGGAACTGGTCACCACAGAAGTATGACCACGGATTCCTCGGGCCAATTGTGTGTGTAAGTTAGGCGAACAAGACAAAGCTGGTCATTTTTAGTATGTTTTATTCTTGAGTGTTTGTGACCTGGCCTAAATTGGTGGACGAGAAGTAGAGATAGAACGCCAGCCTTTTCTCAGTTTCAGTCAGCTTTAATGAATTACGGCATCGAAAGAAAAGCCCAGTGACCTCGTCTGCAAGGAGGATAGATTATATAGCATATACCTTCAAGTGCAATGAAGTGCATGATCTAGAGAGCAGTATATGTGGTGGATCGCGGCGCTTCGAACAAACGATGCAAACGTCGCAAATCTCTTGCCGGATTGGTGAGGCATCAACGCTGATGTGTAGCAGCAGTTGACAGGTACATGTCACGGTATACTGCATGCTTGTAGCTGAGAAACACTTCAGATGGAAGAGAATTACTATTCAATGAAATATAAGAAATAAGGGATTGCGAAATATTGACTTTAATACTACTAAATCAAACTATGCTACTATCCTGCCTGATATATATATAGTTCAACACAGTAGCATGGAAACCCTGGGGTCACCAACTTCTATCTACAAAACCAATACGCGGCATTACAACTCGAATGATAGCTATAAGCCTTTCTGTAATGTGCCTCAGACATACCCACCGAGACCTCCAGATTCACTAGATATTCACCAGTCCCCTCTCGTGAAGGTGTTGAGTATTCACCCACGTGATTTGGCTGACCTGAAACGCTCTGATTGGCCCAAGCGCTCCGGTGTACACAGTACCGTGACGGCATCTGCAGGTGGTGTTCCCTTTGATGCTGCACTTATCAGTCGAGTAATCAATCTTAATCTGCCCCTGACAAGGCGATGTAGTAGGATCCCAGCACCTTGCCATTGATAGACATTCCCTTCGTCTTCTCAACCTATATACAACAGCCATATACCTGAACAGCATTACAATCAGACTTGTCATAGCGCAGGAACTGAATTAGGCAGACACCTGCTTGGTAATCACTATAGATAACCTTCTACAGACGACGGAGAACATCCGTTGATCCTTTATCGAAGGAACTCACAACATATACAGTACCTAGATATATACAAGGGACTAGCAGCCCTTTCTATAAACTATGGACCCAAGTAACTACCAGGAGGACGAGAGCGGCATTCCGCGGAAAGCCGACCACCTATGTGTCTTGATCCATGGGTAAGGGAATGGGATCGAATCGACCACGACATCTGCTAATAAATACTATGGCAGATTCTGGGGAAACCCCTCTCATATGGGCCACCTAGCAGCGTCACTGCGACAGCGATACAGTGAGGACCGCCTCCACGTTCTAGTCGCGGAGCGCAACGTCGGAAACCTCACATACGATGGGATCGAAGTCGGCGGCGAGCGAGTGGCTCACGAGATCGAAGAAACGCTGGATGCATTAGCCGACCAGGGATGTCCTATCCGGAAACTGAGTGTCGTTGGGTACTCATTCGGAGGCCTGCTGGCCAGATATGCAATAGGATTGCTCGACGCACGAGGGTGGTTCGATAAGCTAGAGCCAGTTAACTTCACAACCTTCGTGTCGCCACATGTTGGCGTGCGGATTCCCCGGCAGGGCATCTGGGGCTATATCTGGAATAACGTAGGGCCCCGGCAGGGATCTATATCAGCACAGCAGTTGTTCTTGGTTGATTCTTTTGGGGACTCGGGGCGACCGCTGCTTAGCATTTTGGCGGATCCGGATAGTATCTTCATGCGAGCTCTGGCAAAGTTCAAGAGCCGCAGTCTTTATGGGAATGTTGTCAATGATCGCACTACCATCTTCTATACTACCACGCTTTCGTTGGTGGACCCCTTTCGTGATCTGGGCGACGCGCAGGTTAATTATGTTAAGGGGTATGAGTCAGTTGTAATTGACCCAGATATGTACTTTTTGCCTTCGGCAGAGGTGAAAGAGTCTTTGCCACTGGCTTCGCGCGTATGGGGGGAAATAGCGAAATTTTGCACCACGGCCTTGTTCTGGGCGTTTATTGTTCTTTTCTTATCCATCGTCCTCCCGCTTTTCTTCTTGCACTCTATCTCCCAGTGGTCCCACAGTCGAGAACGAGTCCGGATACACGAGGAAGGAGAGAGCGCAACGCTCTTCAGGCAATACCGGTTGCCTCACGTCATGGTAAAGGAAATGCAAAGCGCCATAGAAGAAGCATACGAGGACGTCGGGTTCAGCCAAAACCCCGAATACCTCTCCACCACAAGCAACAGCAGCTCAGCAGATTCCATCAGGCGACGGAACTCCCCTAGCCTGAAAGCTAAGGAGGCTGCAGGGAACAAACCCAGCTCCATCACCATCCAAGAAGCTTCCCCTCCAACACCAGAGCATAACCAACCAAGCAGCCCCCGCGAGGCAACCACAGATGATACCATCAGCAAGAAGAGCCGAGCATATCCCACCCTCGCCCTAACGCCAGCCCAGATCGCCATAATCGAGTCGCTCAACTCCGTGGGATTCCGCAAATACCCGGTCTACATCCACAACCACCGACATAGCCATGCAGCGATCATCGTGCGGGCCCCTAAGCCGGGCTTCGACGAAGGCAAAGTAGTCATCAAGCATTGGCTCGATACCGAATTCCAGATCTAAACGGGGATCCATCGAAAATGCGGGGTGCGGAAATAGTCGCATGTTTGCGCCCCATCGAGTCCTCGTATAGCAAGCATAGAAAGAGCACACGGTTACTAATAAGCGTCCTGAATGGATCCGCCCCCGCTCCAACGAACGCCGGTGCCTGTCCGGTCCTCGGCATGAGGGGTCAGTGGTTCATCCCCGACGATATCAACCTGCTTTATACGTTACTAGTAGAGCATATCCAAGCAACAGCGCAAGGCTGAACCAAATGTCACCAATACACTCTCCGATCCAACGGTAGGCGGGACCGGCCCTCCATGAATGCCCCCGGGCTATTCTCGCGCTCAGACAAAATCAGACTAGATGACCTCTTCCGCTGAGCTCCTCCTCTTCACGCTGTGACGTCTGCTTGCATATTATAGAGCATGGTGCAGTGCTATTGAACTTAATATTCGGAGTTGCCTGTTCCGTCTCTCCCGATGTGTGTGAGGCTTCAAGGTTGGTCTCGGCGTTACGGATGCTACGGTGCTTGTAGGAGGCTGATTCGACGTCACGCCAGGTGCTCATAATCTGAGTCTCTACTATACTATGAAGGATGTGCTTTTGTGTCATTGATGACGTTTAGTGAGGAGATATGGAGGTGGTCGCCATAGACCCGCTAAAACTATTTGGAACTTTAGATTGTTGTCCACAGCATGCTGATAGATCATAGAAACAGAGCAGATGATGGATATAGTGTCCATAATTTGATAAATCACAAAAGTCTATGGGGTCGCACATATCTGATCGCCGAATGGCTTTCATGGTACTGTGAACCTTAACGATCATCCTAGGATCAATGCGCACGGAATGACATCTATTCCTGATCTCTGGAAATTTGTGTCCGAGAATTAGACCGAACATAATGGTGTTGAAGCCACCAAAGATGAAAGTAGAGTGACATGCCTGGGAATCATAAAGCATCGTAAATTGAAAAACAAACTGTGCACAGCACGAAAGATAAGAAATATATAGATGACATGGGATATCAATAAATGTAAGTTTAGATGAACGTAAAATCTGAAAGTTTCCTGGTGAATGGCAATCAATGGTTGTTAGCAGACTCCGAGTCGATGCCGGAGTCGACATCATCTGCGATGGCGGACTCATTGGCCTGCTTGCTGAGTTCACGCTCCATAGCAAACTTGACAGCTTCCAACACATTGTCGGTGATCTTCTTGGGCGGGTAGCGGGGAATAGTACCCTCCTGGTAGACACCTGTCTTAACAAGAATTGAGTACCAGTGGGAGTCACTGATCTTGTCGAACTCGTTGGTACCACGGATATCTGACTCCGGGGTGTCACCGACGAAGTAGACGGTGTTTGGAGGACTGTTGATGCTGTGGGTGTCCTTGCGCCACTGGCGAAGGAGGCGGGTGGCGAACTCATATGTTCCCAGTTGAGGTTTGCCAAACGCAATCGTATTCAAGGCCTTTCCAGTGACGGCTTGGTAGAGCGCCTCTAGAGAAGCCCTGAGGGCACCCATACCAATACGAGAATGTTCATGAGAGGTGGACCACACAACATCATTGTGGGAAAAGAATACGGGAGGGCCCTCGTCGAAGGTCTCGGAGCGTGTGCCGAGACGTCCATTCTTCGACATGAGAACATCTAAAATGATCTGTTGATCACCAGCCCAGTCTCGACTGTCGGCAAAAACGAAGATGGCATCAATGTTGGTCTGACTGAAATCTCGGACGCGAGAGTTCTTGTACTCCTCCTCTGTCAAGCTCCGGAATGGAGTAGTGTCGTGCCTTGTCTTGATGATATCCCCGGGAGTGATGACATCCTTAAAACCATAGCCTTCGGCGACAATGCGGCATTTCTCGCCTACACCACCAACGACAAGAACGGTATTGTACCGCGTCGCCATCTCCCGCATGGGAGTGTGGCCACAAATGAATTGACCCGGCGAGACCTCCAGTTCAAGTTGCCGGCTTAGATCCAAGCATCGTTCTTCTTCGGTCTTGCCTCCGCCATTAGTGACGAAGATATAGGGACTAGAAGGAAGGTCAATTTTTAGTTTATGCCATGGCACTCGATTTAGTAGGTAATGTCACTTGGCGTAAGGGAAAAAAATCGTATAGAGACAGCTTACATCTTAATTCCATATGGATTGGCCCCATTGATATATTTGAGTGCCTCAATGGCCGCAGGGATCGGTTCCCCTCCCCTGATCAGAACGCCGTCAATGTCAAAGGCGAGCGCAAACTCATCAGTGGTGGTCAAAGGCCCTCGCGGGACCGGCGACGCAGCGCGGGGTGACCCCTCATCAGATGAAACCTCATCTTCTAAGTGTTGCTTGGCCATTTCCATTGCTATGGCCGTTTCGTGAGAGTCACTGGTGGCCATCAAATGTTTGGGAGGAACGACCACATTGGGCCCGCCATAAAGGTCGGCCCGAACAGCGTCCAAGCTGGATAACCGGCGGACCCTTTGGGCACCTAGACCGTCGGCGGTCGTCATCTTCGTTCCTATAAAAGTGGGTAACACTACGGGATGACCTCAGATAGTGGAGGCTGTGGAGTGCCCTGTGTGGGACCGGCCAGCAGAAGGCGAAACCGTCAACGTTGAAGATCGATCACCACGTCTGTCGACGAGATCGTCTCGAAGCCAAAAACACAGCTCGATAAACGAATCAAGTTTCGAGGGTATCAATGGGCAGTGTTCCGCGACAGGAACCAGATTCTCCCAGACAATGGAATAGAGAAAGAGAAGAGAAGACCGGGGTTATACAGCAGTACGGCGATCGGTCAGACAAGAACAGCAACGGGGCTGCACTCCAAGAGTCTCTAGTAGAAGGAAGAGGGAGTGATTGACCAAGTGGAGTGGAGAGAGAGGGTCAAGGTTGCGAGGATGAAGCCATTAATATAAAGACAGGGCACAGCGGGTGGAGTGAAGAGCAGCGATTGTTTGGTTCATGGTCAATGCAACCCGTGGCTCCAACATTAACCCCGTCTGGACGAATGCCTTTTAGAAATGGAATCATGCATTAACGTGCTCAGGGAAGAGACTCCACCGAAAGGAAAGTTTACCGTTGCTCTCCGGTCCATTCCAGGCAGCGACAGCATGATTGATTATTTGTGATGAAGGGATGCCACATTCTGATTTGCTCGACGCAATGATCAAGGCGCCCACCGAGTCGTAAACCATAGGACGCCGGTGCTCGATCGCTCGACGATGGTGGAGTTGATGTGCAGTAGAGGGGTATCAAAGTGGATCCGCGCAGGAAGACATCCTGACAATTATCTTGGATCGTCGTTGATATCATCGGAAAGGAAGATTGGGAGAGTGGCTGTGGTTACGGGAGATGATGTGGGTGATTTTCTTGTTGTGTGGTGTTGGTGGCTTTGCCCTTTACGTTTCTCGATACGTCAATCCATACGGAGTACTCCGTACCTCGATTACCTTTTGCACTGGTGTGGTGTCTTGTAAAATGTACCATGTCCCACAGTGTCTCCGTACCATAGTACTAGTACCGTACAGGCAGCACGGTGTACTGAGAACAATACGCTCAGTGGGATGGAATGCATGCCTCAGGTATGGAGTTTACCATTGTTTATCCTTGGTTGACAGTTGGAAGAAGATGGAGAACATCGTGAATCTTGGATCCACTTCTCCATAGAATCGTTACCAAATTAGAAATACTACATGGCAGAATCAAAGCACTCTACTCCGTATTCAGCACATGAATAGTTGGAGTCTTGAGTCATTTACTGCGCAGTATTGTATTTTATTTATTTATTGTTATTATTATTATTACTATTATTATCTAATTTTGATTTTCTTTTTCGTTTCATCTCAACTTCCCTCCCCCTTCGCTTCTCTTTGTCTCAACCATCCATCTTCGCCCTCCTTCACACCCTCCCCCGAGTTTCCCCCCCCAGAATGAGGGAATTTTTCATCTTAACAGCCGCCCCTGACGTCACTGCGGGCGATATCTCCGAGTAGAATGTTTGAAGAGGAACATGCCGTCGATATCCATCACGGCGATGGCGCAGGCACAGATACCAGGCGACCTATGAGGGTTGGTTGCCCAGCCGAGTCCCGAGGCCTAGCGAAGAGTCCCATGCGTTCATTGGACCCAACCCCGAAAGATCCTCGCCAGAAAAGCCGCTGCTGCGCTGCAACGTTCTGAAATGGTTTACAAGGTGCGACCATCAGCCTCAGTCAGCCATTTTCGAAACCTTGCTGCATGTGATCTTGACGGGACGACTTGGTCTTAGCGTCTGTCTTGTGGGGTTGGGGCCAGCATCGCCATCGTCGCCATTATGGCCAAAGTGGCTAGGTAGAATCCCTATCTCACAGATCCCTATCTCACAGCATGGAATGTCACTTCTTCCTTGCTATTTCTCTCGTTCTCTTCACTGGGGGTATGTTGCCGGTGTCTGCAAGAATGATGTGGCACCAGCACGGTATGTGTGCTGTGCCTTGAGAATTATCTCCGATAGTTTGCGATAAGCGAGGTTTGGCCCCTCTGGTCTTTGTTGTACTCATTCTAAAGTCTATTCGATAGTTAGATTTAAACAACGAAACAAACAAACAAAGAAAGGAAAGTCTGAGGAAGATGAATAAGTAGTCAGGTGAGTAGTATACTACAAAGAACCAGTCCATCCTTCATGCTCAACTCCCTCTCCAACTAGGTACCCGTCCGAGGGACATGCTTTTCCCCTCTATCATTATCAAGAAACGGTATTCTATGAATTTATACATAGTACACGGGCCTTCACCAGGAATTCAGCCACCACATACTTAATGGAAAGAACAAATACAACAAGAAAGGAATAAACAAAGCTGGCCATCAGTCTACCCGAAGGATCAAGTCAGAGCCTCTCCTTGATGGCGTCAAATTGCGCTCTGATGATGAACGCTTTTTCTTTGCCATGCGTCCCTGTATCTCCGTTGAGGACCGCTCACCAGACAACCTGTACGGTCTAGGTCCAGACGGGGAGCTACGGCTATATCCACTCCAATAATCATCTGGTGAGTAAGGAACAGTCAATTCCTTGGGCTGTGGTTTGCCTCGTCGTATTTGCACGCGTTTGATATCATCACGCCGCACGATCCTAGGCCTAGAGACAATTTCCCGGGCTGGACTAACGGCCCGGGAAAACGGCATTCGGGGATACTTTACAGGCGCATCCTCGTCGAAATAGTTTTGTCGCTGGCCTTCATTGTTCGGTGTTCGAATTTCTCGTACAGGGGTGAGTGGTCTGAAGTTTCCAGAGTGTCGTGACGTTCGATGGGACCCCGAGCTTTCGTTAATATTGATGGTCTCAAATTCGTCACTGGAACTGTCTAATAAGCTGCCTTTTGTGTCAACCTCCTGATCTGAACGACGGGCTGCGTTGCGGGATACTGGCGGTTCAGGAAGAGCTCTAGCAGCCCCCACATCGGGGCCCCACAAGTAATCACCGATATACTCATTGCGCTTTGCGTTATACGGCCGTGGACCTAGGGGCGATGCTTTGCCGTATACATCACTTTGGTAAGGGATTTGTACCCCTTCGCCAGCACTAACGTAGACTGGCTTTTTTGGACGGTCTGAACCGACGGGAATGACAGTATCATTCCGCGCTCGAAAGGCGTGAAACAATGCACGTGGGTTATCAGGGAGCCCTACTCTTGGGGGCCGCTTGTACTGCCGATTATTACTGTATGGAGCTTGCATGTTTGGATATTTCGGATATTGCCTGTTACCACCAAGGAAACTCCTTGGTCTGGTGACATCCTCTTCGAACAATGTGTCACCACTAGTGGGCATTGCGTATTTCTGTTGACTCAGCCGCAATGGTTCCGGGCAGAGTGTGTATGCCGGCTTATCAGGCAATAGGTCGGAGACTGTCCGCGGGGATGATTGACTGATTGAGGGCTCGAGATCTGAGCTAGAGGATATAGCAAAGCCAATCCTTCCTGGGCTGTGTATCCCCGTCGAACCATAATGATAGTCGTCGCCCGGACCTGTGACAACGACTGCTGGGTTCTGAGAACCAGGCTGAAACGGAGACATGAGTCTACAAGTCTCCGTATCCCCATGTCCTGCACCGGATGAGGGGTTGGGCCCTGGAGTCAGAAGCCTTGGAGGTAGTGAGAAATCGGGTGGTTCCGCCATAACACCTCCAATCTCAAAGAAATCATGGTCCTTTGGTTGCTGATACCGTCGTTTCATTTTTCTGCAACAGAAAAATACTATAACCCCAAGTATAAAGAACCCCGCAATACCAGAAGAAACGGAAACCCCTATAACAGCACCTGCATTGAGACTACTCTCCTTACCGGCAGCTGCTCCCGATGTTACATTGTGAGTTGTATGTGAGCTGCTAGCAGTACTTGAGGTACTCTGCTCGGTATTCGTTGCTGATACCGGGCTTTGAAATGTGGTGAATGTAGTCGATGGATGCCCGGTCTGCGGTGGTGTAGGATCAGTGGGGGTAGTCGAACTACTAGTAGCATTAGGCGAGTGTGTCTCAGTAGCGGGAACGCTCGTAGGCGATAGTACAGACACAACCGTAGCGGTTATTGTAGCATGTGTGCGAGGCAGCGCTCCGGGTACCGAGTCGCAAATGCTGTAGACACTTGAATTGAGCGCCACTTCAAGTGAGCAAAACGAGATGCCGCAGCGTAAGGCTGCCTCCCCCAGCGTATAACCACTCTTTGTATTCGTTTTACACAGACAGCTGACATCTGCCACAGACGAGCACGCATTATTCGGATAATCAGTGTTTATAAAACTCTCGACGCAGTTTAAAGCACAATCGGGTATGGTATCGAGCTGGGATGCCGGAAGTTTCTGGCCATATGCGCCTAGAGCTAGCAGAAGCGGAACTAATGATAGAAATGCGGTGGGCAGCCGTTGAGGAAGAGATGATAACATATTGCAGTGTCTTATTAGACCCGAACTCATCAGAAAACCATACAACTTCAGTGCAGAAACTCGATGGGAAAATAAGGACAGCACGTCAATTAGCCTTATAGATATCATCAACTCACCACAGCCTCAATATCGCAAGGTGATGTCTCCTTCAGAAGTCATATCCACTTATAGGATACCATGCTAAGGAAGTGGACAAGGTAAATCGGATGAAACTTGACGGTATACAGTCGCAGCAGTGGTACAGACACTGTAGGCAAGGTGATACTGCAGAGATGTGATGTCGAAACTGAAAGAAAAGACATGAAAAAGTCCATGATTAAAGCTTAGTGTAGTCGATGCCATATTGGGGCCATCCTACTCCCCACGGCGTCAAAAAAGATCATCGTCTCTCGTCATGGCGCTGAGTGGCCGTGGGCAGAGAAAAGCCTGGATCTGAGACGAGCCCCATCAACAACACATCGGTAAGCGCCCTCATGAAACATAAATAACCTTTTGAATTGACCCAAATACCAGAATAGCCTGTGAAAGGATGCATTAAAGTGGGTAAGCGCTTTGTTTGGGCGAGAGGGACGCAAACAAGCTCAGTACGCGCCGTGTTGGCGCCGATGCTGCAGAGCCTACGAAGCATGATGTCAGATCAGCTGACTCCAAATATAGATGACTTCTTGTAGGTAACAACACATCTAAACCTTTGGTAATACGGAAGACCGAAGAATTGAGTGTCAAATAAGAAATATGACATCTTTCTATCTGATGAAGAGTGACTGCAGTCTATTCAGCCTTCGCCGTTCTTACGACCCCAAGACTTACACCCTTGGACTGATATAACGTATTGCTGTTATTATTTTCAAGATCATGAGTAGTTTACATCCAAGGCTACTAGCTCGATATACTTCAGCATGGCATGATGGTCCGGTGGTATGGGCTGTACATGCCCCTAGAGCGTCAGCATAGTTTGCAACGACATGCATTGTGATAGGAGCTTTCCCATACGGCACCGGCGAAGAAACCCTTTCAGACATTAGTACTTAGAGCTACCGAGTGGTTTCCCGTCATCCTATAAGGTCGTACCTGAAAAATCCTACGACTTCCTGATTGGGCAATACCCACATAAGCCCGGAGCATAGGAACTAAAGCTTATTTGAACCCTTCTGAGTCGGCCTGGGGGCTCTGATCATACCTTGCTTATCGTTAAGGTTACACTCTAAAGTGATATATGGCTCCGGCTGCTTCCTACCACCGAGAATTAGATCAGAACATAGTCGCAGCTCTCCCCTAATGCAGTCACATTATGGAACGGAGCATCTATACCATGCCAGCATGTCCGCTAACAGATAATCTAGAAAGCACATCGGTCGTCTACATAACTTATTCGGTCTCGATTACTGTGGCTGGGCCTAATTTATTGATAACCTACTGGCTAACCCTAGTTTCGACACTCCTGCGCCGGGAGCTTAACTCGGGAGGGTATCCCTGGGGTGTAAGTGGGTATGCCCTGCAGGGTATACTCACTCAATTGGAGTATGCTACTTACAACAGCATCGTGGCCTATGCTTTGTTACCTGAGAGCGTCTGTATCCAGGCCCCGGTGGCGCGGTATTGGCTGGGTCAGATAGTGCGGTATCCTATTCTTTCGGATTCCTATTTATTTATTTATTATCATTTTCCCTTCGTTTGAAAGATGGAACTGTGTTTGTTCAATACGCGAAGATATTCGCATGGTATACCTGAATTGAGGATGATTAGGCCTGTCAAAAATACTTTGTTGCCACAATTGATTGCGGAGTCATTCAATATAGAAAGAATCCCATCAACACTTCCCAAGAACCACAATTGCGATGTTTCAATGGAGAGGATGGAGTATGCTTCTTATGTACGTAGTTTGTAGTAGATTCCTGTGGAGTGTGATCTGCGTATCATCTAGTGGGTATTCGGTACTTAAAACAAGTTAATAACAAGATATATTATAGCGTTGGTATCCACTTCTAGACCACCAGGTATGTGAGTCTTAGCTCGTAGGCGGTTTAGATCAAGGTCACGGACAAGAAACTTGTTGGACTTTACAGAAGATAGTATTAGCACGATCACAGATCAAAGGTCTTATCAATTGCCATTAATCATTAAAACTAATCTCACTGACAATACAGTAGAGTAAAAGCCCAGTATCGCAAATGAGCTGGTATCATCCGAAGCGAAAAAAAAAAAACAGAGCATGGTTAACATGAGAGTAAGGGGAATTCGGAACAACCCAAAACGCCATCGCAGCGGGCAAGCAGCGCTCCAGACCGATTAGCGCCGTCGCAGTTGAGGAATGGATACACGGGGGTTGCCAAGTAGTGGGGTTGCTTTAGGGTGGCTTGGGCCGGAGTGCCGCGGAACAGTGCTGACAACATCATGGTCGCGAGTTCGATCTCAAAAGCTGGTATCTCATACTATTGAACGCGAAACGATGTGATTTTTTCGACCGGGCGCTGTGAACCAAAACGGGCAGTCGACAGAGATGCGGAGAGCTGTCTAGTACTTGAATATAATGTACCTGCGAACCAAAATTAGTAAACCTTGGCATGCAGTTCAATGCAAGGCAGACACGTACAGAGCGTGAATGATACCAGGAATCCAACCCAGGATGGTCAAACAGATGTTGATGAGGAGATCAGCGCCGCATCCCCGCTCAAGGAAAACACCCAAAGGAGGGAGGATGATCGCGAAGAGGATCTTGCAGATATCACTACATTTAGCTTGGTTAGATGGGCGCTTATTCATATTTCGTTCCCCGTCCTCTTTGTAAATACGAAGCGCAACGATGGGATAAGGAAAGGGAGGGATCCGGGGGAAGGTGAGCAACGGAGTGCGATGCCGATAGCAGGAGCTCACTTACGAAGCAGTGAAAGGCATGGTGACGGAGTGTCAACGAGGAACGTGTGTAGGTTCTATAGACGGGGTAGATAGGTGTCGGTGGTAAAATCAGCACGAATTAGGTCCGTGATAGGAGTAGTAGCAGTAGTGGGAAGAATGGGGAAGATTTCAGGAGGAAGACGGGGAGAGAAGCGATGGGCTCTTTAAATGATTTAATAGATCATGGGCGGCAAGATAACGTGAGAGCACCTCCGCTAGGGAAAAAAAAGAGAAAAAAAAACGCCCCAAGGCAGTAATACTACTAATTTTTACTGGACTCCCGATGGGGCTTAGGACCGGGTTAGGCTAAGTGACTATTACTAGTTAATTAGAAGACTAGGTTAATTGGTGCTACTATGGAATTCTTTCTTCTTCGGGTGGTGATGGACACAGGTAGTATTTCCCCTTAGTCAAGACCATAAGGAGAAGGTGATGCTTCATCGGTTCTGAATAGCTACGTCATACGTCCCCCGTCAACTGTGGCTCAGGGTTCCTTCTGCCCTTTTCCCATTGGATCAATCTCCCATGATGTGCATCGAGAACTTCCCGCTGCCGAGCCCTCCGATCCAGCTTTCTTGTCGGGTGACTTTTGCGTCGTCGTCGTCGTCAAGTTTGGCAAAAGAAGGCATGGACATACATCCTTACTACACAAGTGGATCTATGAGAAAGGGTGAAATTTTCAAAATGGAGAGCGTCCCTTAAGTTCATGGTGGCTTGTTATCCTTGGCAGCGCTACCTGATTATACGATCACCGGCAAGGGGATTGTTTTTTAGTCGCCCAACTGCTATGTCACCATGACTATCCTTTTTTTTTTCTGGCCCTCCTCAGATTCCCTCTAAATTCTGTTGCCTGGAAAAGCTTGGCGGCTCCAGGCTGACCAGTTTCTGCTCTACACACCGGAAGTGCCTCTAAAAGAGGAAAAAAAGATGTATAAAAAAAAGAGAGAAAAAAAAGAAGAAATAAAAATCTCATTTTAGAACTAAGTAATAATCGTCATCATATATTCAATTATTTCTATTTATATTTTCCGATAAGGCGCTTCAAGTTCAGGTCCCTTTCTTACTAGTAGTATTGTTCGAACATTGACTGATGTCAGGGCTCCATGGAGCACGGGTTTAACAAGCAGTGGGCCGCACAGCCCTATGACCTTACAAGTCAGGCTTAGTATTAGTACATAGTACTTCGTATACTACTAGTACGTAGTAGGCTGGCTATATGGCAATGCTAGTATATGCTCTCTGGCCTCCACCGCTACAATTACCTAGCGCCGGGATTTCTTGCGAGCTGATATCATATCCTCAACGACCCTCAGGATTGACTTACTTTCACTGTACCTCCAACAAGGTCGTTTTCTGCAGTTCTATATATTGATGTACACGCGGTTTACGTCATGGGAGTACTATCACGTTAATCACCACGCCAATGAGCTTCAAGAATACAAAGAATGGAAACAAGGGGACGATGCATTACACCACTTAAATGATAGGCTTACAGACCTCCAACGTTTCAAATGGCGCTACGCGAACAATCAAGTTGGCTATGGTCAATTTACGATGTACAAGGAACCTTTCTGACTTACTTTCTACAAATAGACAAGAAAATAATAAAAATAGAATAGATATATTCAATCAGCCTCGATCAACTGCGCCAAGATTCCTCACCAAGCCTCATCTTGACAACACCTTATTCCAGTGACGACGTGGGGTTTACCTCCACCATATTCCTTATTCCTTTAACCATATACCACCTGATTAAGTTGTTGAACTTGTGCGATGCCCATACCTAAAAAGTACATACATGATCTGTAAAATGATGATTTAATGGTGGGTAATTACGACACAGTACAGTAGTACTCGGGGAAGCTCTCCGTCTAGAACTCCAGTGTCTTGGCAGCCGACTGACTGTCCGCGGAGGAAACCAAAAAAGTGTTTCCTTCAACCTAGTTCATGAGGCGGTCTTCCCTACCAGTCAATTCTGGGCGCAATTATTGAACGTTCATGATTCCATGTCGGTGATACTCGGGTCCATCCCGCCTGCTATCCCAGCACGGCTAGCAGTTAAACCAAACCCTTTCCCACTGATGTCCGGCCATCGTCCACTGCGCAAGCTGAGCCCGTATCTACGGAAGCGCAGTGTGCCACAAAGATGCTTTGCAACGCAAACAAAAGCAGCCGCAGATGATCGTTTTCTTGCTCACACTTGGTTAACGAGGACTCCCGAAGAGATTGTAAGCCTCCCCGGTGTTGTACGAGGGTGCGACTAGCTAAACGTCGAAGAGACTCCAGAGGACGTCCTTTCGAGCCTGCCTCCTATACCACTGTCGCTCGCAGGACCGGACCATATTCCTATTCTCCTCTTAACCCCTAGTCTTGCTCAGTGGGCAGATACGACCAATTCCTTCCTCGAACAATGCATCAATCGACTCTATCGCAAGGCTCGGACATCCGATTCCCCCGAACCCGTACACGCCATTGTCGCCATTGTTGATAAATTGCCCGACACTCCATCGGCTCTCAAGGACGAAACCGACAATGGCGCCGTGGCAGAGTCCGAGGGGATCTCCCTCCTATTTGCGAGGACGGCGAACTTACAAGGGAGGGCTGCTGCGCCTCGACGCATTAGGAGGTCGGAAACTGAGGAATCAGCCCTCATATTTTCCTTCCAGACGGAAGTTTCGTATGGCTCGGATAATGCCACCCTCCGACGAGCTGTCCATGAGGTTGGGCTACGCCTCGCCAATACACTGTTTATAAATGGCAGCGAAAACACTCTATCTGGGACTCGTTGGTCCTATAATCCTTCTTCATCCAGGTTTACCTTCGATCGATCGATCGAGCTTTCGCGCTGTCGAGTATCCTCTACTACAAGTTCTGTACACAACACATTGAAACTTCCTTTACATCCCGTTGGCCAGCGAAGGGAGGTTATCTCCAGCATGGGAAACATCCTCCGCCAACTAGCAAAACATCCAAACGGTACATCGAAGGACCCGATGCCCGCATCGTCTGAACTAGAGAAAGAGCTGCCGCGCTACATTGAAGAACACAATATCACTGACCGTAGGGTTTCTGTTTGGGCTCTAGTCGAGTCTCCTTCGAGCAACTCGCAAGTCGAATCCGATGGCTTTCAGACCACACTTGTGAGGTCAGTGCAAGCCGGAGGTAAACTCCACCGGGTCATGAGCGGCGGTGGCGGATGGGGCAAGAAACAGGGCCTCCTGTCGCTTGATTACGAGACCAAGTTTCTAGAACCCTACGAGAACAATGAGTTTACAACGTTGGATAACATATTCTCTCCCTTTAGCACAAGCACGGCACAGACTGCGCCACCTTGGTTTGAGGATAAACACGTTGTTGATGGCCTGTCAACCTTGTCACAAGTGGCTAGGGCCGGGGACTACATTCAATTTTATGTTTCTGTCGAGCCAGAACATGTCCAGAACGGTCAGCCGGAGCTACTCGGTTCCCAGGAGGGAGCGATCTCGTACCAGTTCGGTGTCGTCTTCGATAACGAGACGCTCGTAGCTCAAGCAGAAAAAGGTGCGTCCCAAAAGGACCTAAGAATTAAGCCTAATTGCTTTGGAGCACTATCGGAGAAAGCAATGACTTACTCGCAACCTGTCGTTCCAATCAGGCCAGAGCAAGAGATTCTGGAGTCTGGCACTAAACTTGATATACCGGGGTGTCGAGTCAAATTAGTCGCCTCATAGAGTGAAAGGGGCCAAAACGCCACCTATGTATAGCTACTGAAACAAAAAGTGAGAAATACAATTGCAACTGTAAACACTATCTACAGCAGCTGGTTAGTTCCCTAAATGCAACTAGTATACTCCGTACTCCGATCTCCGATGAGCGATGCCAAGCCTCAGATCACGTGGCAGCACATGCGGTCCGTCAGCCTCCCCGAAGAGCAACGACACCAGCAACACGGTGTTCGCCTCAACTCCCATCAACAACCGAAGCCTTCACATCACCGCAACTGTTGTCTACGCGGCGCTACCCCTGTGTGGACTGCTTCCTATAACCTTCTTTGTACTTTTCTTAATCAATCCTTCTCTTTGAGTCCCGTCTAGTCTTTCAAAATGGCCACAGAGCTTTGGTACGTAATCTCCTAGTTTGACTCCTATCTCGGTCATTCGGTCGCTGTGCCGTATGGTTTTCCGTTACTACAGTGTGGATAGTAGTCGTTTGTCCTGTGTGCTAACTTTATAGCCATATAGTCCCGTCTATGCGGTGAGTATCTCCACACTCTGTCGATGCCGTCCATGCTAGAGCTCCAGCTAGCTACGGAACCGCTTAGCCAGCTTCCCCAGTGCTTGACGTACAATGTTGCCCGTTGAGGAAAGCATGGCTGATATTTTTTCTTTACCGAAATAGCCCTTCTTCGGTGCCCTTGGCTGCACCTCGGCCATCGTCTTCACCTGCTTCGGTGCCGCCTATGGAACCGCTAAGGCCGGCGTCGGTGTCTGTGGAATGGCTGTCCTCAGACCCGATCTGATCGTCAAGAGTACGTTAGAGGCCGCAATGAGCTACCCCGATAGCACTGCCTGCCTATAAGCGTCTAGGATTCTGACTGTGCATAATTATAGACATTGTTCCCATTGTCATGGCGGGTATCATCGGTATCTACGGTCTGGTCGTGTCCGTCCTGATCGCGAACGACCTGGCACAGACAGTCCCTCTATACACCGGATTCATTCAGCTGGGAGCAGGTCTCGCTGTCGGTCTGGCTGGTCTGGCAGCTGGGTATGTCTCATTCCTGAGGGATCGAATACAATTTACTTCTACAAGACTTGGGAACTGATAACATAATGTATAGTTTTGCCATCGGTATTGTCGGTGATGCTGGTGTCCGCGGAACAGCCCAACAACCCAGGCTCTATGTCGGCATGATTCTTATTCTCATTTTCGCTGAAGTTTTGGGTGAGTTTCCGCCTCTTGAATCCAGTCCCTGGTCTTTTGTTCCAGTTTGTTAATGATCGTCGCACCATACAACAGGTCTTTACGGTCTCATCGTTGCCCTTCTCATGAACTCGCGTGCCAAGATCGATGCCAAGTGCTAAGTCATCTTTGACAATCTTTGTGCGAGAACTTCCAATTAATCCTCTTCGCACACGGAGTACATTGGTTTAGATTGGTTAATGTGACATGGTAAACGCCTTGCTGCTTACCTGGTAAAGAACGTTTGTCATACTGTCACGAGAACCAAGATAAACAGCAGCTGAACTGGGGGAGGAACTTTGGCTTATCTTTCAACTGTCAAGAGTTATGGTTCTTACATACAGGCCGAGGCTGTATGGTAGGATGGGTGGGTCGTCGTGGTAGATACAATGCATGGCTGAAGCCTGCGTTGTACCTGTACTTTATCGGAGTCGCTGTGGTCCTGGAATGGATCATTTACATTGCAATGCTGACATGCTGTTTATGCGGTTATTTGCTGTTTGTGTTCAAGCTACTACTTGCTTTCAAGATTCGATTCGGGATGTTATCTGTTATTTGGAATCAAAAGACCTCATACTATTATAGTGGTGCATTTCAACCGTGCGGCTGATATCGTAAATATATATTGTTTGAAGATATATTTTGTCATGTATTCCGTTTGGGCCGCTATTCTGCAACCTTGCTTCTCATACTTTCTCATGCTGTAATCCTTGTAACTGTTAACTGATTTACATTGTATCTAGTATACAGGGCTCAATTTGAGCTTTGCGTCGAGAAAATCACATTAAAAATACAGAGCTATATGTCCATCTTCAACGATCAAACAAGGTGATATAAAGAATAGCTATGTAAATGATACTGTCTATAGAATGGACAATGCGTAAGGGACGTGTAATATTCAAGCAAATGAATATACCGTGAGAACCATGAGGACGGACACAAACAAAGCACCTAGGGAATCACCAACCAGTTCAAGTCCGACAAGATGGCAATGTATAACTCCAAAGTGCCACGAGACTTGAGGAAGGTGATCGGGAAGGGACAGTGCATGAGGAAGGAGGCGGTAATAGGGATATCCCAATTAAGCCTTGTCAAGCTTGCGACGCAAGGTTCTCGTCTTCCGCAAAAGCTTCTTGTACTTGTGCTTCTTCATCTTCAGCTTACGCCGTCTCTTGGTGCTGATCGCTTGCATGGTACGGTTGTTGCGCAGGCGCTCAATGTACGTGGTTCCGGGCTGAGACGGTACGTCGATGATAGCTTCATTCTCACCGGCGCCAGGAGCGTCCATATCCGGAGTGCGGACAAAAGGACCCGTATGGGCTTCGTACGTCTTGCGACCATCCGCATGTGTGGACTCGTGGATGGTCAAAACGGTGGAGTAACTGGTTTCGCGGGGAGAAAAGTTTTCCGACTCCACGGCACCGGCATCTTTCGCTTCGTCGAAGGGAACCGGTGGCGGCGGGGGGTGAAATGGGCGAAGTCGCCTTGTGAGCTCCTCCACGGAAACCTTCAGCTCCGCCATGTTCATTCCGTCGAGCTGGTTACCCTCCATGTCGAAGTGGTTCAGAGAGCCTTCTTGCTCGCCTAAGTGATAGGCAGGGTTCTCCATGGAGTTGACGGTGGAGGATAGAGTAAGAATCACATCATCCGATTCATGTTTCATGGATTTCTTGGCGGTGAATATGGCATCAAAAGCTTCAGGGCTAGAAGGAGGAGGAACGGTGGTCGAAACGGAGATAGGTCGGTGGATAGAAAAGAATGAAGCTACATGGACGTCTGCTCCGCAAGGGGAAAAAAAGTTAGTCAAAAGACAATCTAAGAGCCTTGTCCGCCTCCTTGGTGCTACTTCTACTCACCATGGGGTTGAAGGTGTTGGGTAGAGGGAACGCTAGGCAGTCTCGAGAAGACCGTATGCTGATTCGACTTGGAACCGTTGCGGCCACTGCTATCTTTTCCCCTTCGTCTGGAAGCCTTACCCTCGCGCTTTTCGCTTGCATTCACGCCCTTGGCGGGGGTCTGAGAAGAAGCGTCGACTTTTCTGGAACCGTCGCTGGGCTTTGAAGAAGAAGATGAGGAGTAACGGCGCTGACGGACATGCTGTGCCGTGCCTAAGAGGGTATTAGAGGAAGCTGGAAGAGCTTGACTGGACGAGCGAGCGATGCCGGTGATGGGAGCAATAGGAGCCCATGCAGCTCGGCGTAACGAAGATGACAGCATTTTCCGACGTCGAATAGCCCAGAAACTGGGTAAGTATGTCGGGAACAACGCCGGTTAGAAGTCGTCTGAGGCGAATTCGAAGTTGAGCCGATCAGGCGGAAGCCCAATCCGGTAAAGCTCTGTCCGCATTAGACACCTGAGGCATATAGAGCAGGCCGATCAGGTGATCTACTGATCATTCCACCTCTTCGTGAATTTACTTACACGGAGACATAATAATATCGGGGATAATGGATTGGCAAAGCTTCGGTTTTCAAAGCTAGATCATATACCCATCACATGGCATCAGGTTCTTACGCAACCTGATTAACATTACGGAGTATATTGCTCATAGTCCGAATAATAATTCCAAACAACCTCCTTTCAACCAGGACAAGAGAAAATAATCACCGAGAGGGGAAAAGAAAAAAAGTTCATGTTTACACAGCCGCACCTCAAACAGGAATAGGCTACTATTTCCACAGCGTACCAGTCACAGTTAACACCAGGAAGCCAGGAATCCTCACCTATAGACACTTCAGCCCAGACCAGATTGTCAATGTTCGTAAGATTGGGACTAGATATTATGAAAACAAGAAGCCGAAGCTTTCGCCACAGTGTATTACAGCACAAATGGGACAAAAAAAAGACAAGTAGCTATGGAAACCGCCAGACTTGATGAATGGCAGGAGAAGAGAGAATAAAAGAATAGAATGGTATCAATCTGCATGGTGTAGAAAGAAACAGACTCGTCGCTGAACCGAACAAAATGAAGCACCATGTAGTAGTGTAAGCTTTTCATGCAGGGTAGCATAGTAGAACTGTAGCACAGAGTCGGCCGAGAACGCTTTCTCGATGCATGTATAACAAAAAGGAAAGAAAAGGGGAATAAGCATGAAGAGAATAGTTCAAGGCTAAGGAGAGGGCCAAGGGGTCATAGAAGGGGAAAACGCTCGGAAAATGCAACGTGAAAGGCTGAGTGAATAGAATAGTCTCAGGCTTACGGAAATCATCGTGGAAGCCAATCGTCTCTGATGAAACATTAATTATCATAAGATGAGAGTGTGCAGATTCTTCTGGATGATCATGTCTTGCACAGAATCCATGGTTGCTTTCAGCAATGTTGTGTCGGTCGCATTGGTGTAATGGATGTAGATCTCTCGATCGGGAATGCGATTGATGCCGCGGAACCTGTCAGCGAAATATCTTGCCGCAGCATCAAAGTCCGTATTCGAACCGTTGAAATCCGGAAAGTGTTTAGAAACGGGGGAAACACTTAGTTTGCCCTTAAAGAGATCGATCTTGTTCAGGAAAAGAATGATGGGCTTGCGCTTGAACCATTCTCCGTTAACCAATGACTCGAACAGCATCATGGCCTCGTGCATTTGGTTCTGTTAACAAGAAAATGGCGTTAGATGTGTCAAATCCGAAAGGGAGTGCAAGGTTCTTACAGCGTTCTGGTCCTCCACTAAGCACTGGTCATAGCCTGATAAGGCAACCATGAAGAGAAGACACTGCACACCCTCAAAACAATGGATCCACTTCTTGCGCTCAGATCGTTGACCACCAACATCCATCATTCGGAAGTTCATTTGGCCAAGTTCAAAGAGAGTTTCCGTAATTCCTGTGGTTCGCAAACGCGCTTGCAGCATGTCCTGATTGTCGGGAAGCCAGCCAGGTGCGAATATCCGATCAAGTGAATCAAAGAAGCTATAACAAGGTCAATAGCCGTCTGTTTTATTGGTAAGAAACCGGCACTCACTAATGCAAATTATCGTGAAGAGCAAATTCATGCCCTCTAGCGACAGCTTTTTGCACCCCTGCATCATTCCACATATCTCTCATGGCATCGCGAACCTTGAGGTCGGAGAATGCTTCATCTGAGCCGACGTCAGACTCCAGATTATCTACATAATCCGCAAGTGGCTGTAGAATGGTATCAAGATTAGTCGATGCTTCAAACAGGATGAAAATAGGGAGAGGTGAATGGCTGACTGCCCATTCTTATTTACCTTGGTCTTCTCTTGCTCAAACTCGATGCTTTCCGTGCGCATAATATCCATCAAAACCTTGAATGCAATGACAATATTGGAATAGATTACTGCACGCGTTTGACGGCGCTCATCGTCAGGAAACCCCCTAGAATGGATGATGCGCATTTGTTTTATGATTGTTGATTTTCCTGATTCGCCAGCACCTAAATGTCTGTGAATACATATTACCAAGGGAAATTGTCCAGAGACTTACCGAGGAGGAGGATTTTGATGGTCCTATCCATCACCTTTTTGTCATTTTTTAGGACCTTATCTATCCGAGCATTTCGTTGTAAAGCATCCTTATCCGTTGTGTCAACGGGCTTTGAGCTCATACAACCCATGTTGTCTATGATTTTCTCTCACTTATAAGAAAACCTGTTCACGACCTATGAAGGTGCGAATTAGTTTAAGAACTCCAGCGTTAATGCGCACATGGGAGGGAAACAAGCGAAGTCCAATGGCAGCAGGTGAATCAGGGGACACGCCTGACAAATGCTCATGACCACTCAAAAGGTGGTGTTTAAGACATGCGACGACCACCAAGACAGAATACGAGTGGGCAAGCTATCTTCGCTGGGGGGAGCAACTAACCGATTTGTTGTAGTTATAGTATTATTTTAGGATGGTGGAATTAAATAGCGAAACAAACGCAAAAAAGAAAACACGGGTGTGCCTCTGTTTGCGATCAAAGGGTGAAAGTCAAGAACTCCAGCTGAAACAGTTACTCGAGAGGTGGACTCTGGCGTTCCGTTCGTACGACACAGCACGCTGATGTCACGGCAGAAACCTGGATAGAGCTGCTGGTTGAAGTCTAGACGATTGTGGGACCGTTCGACAAATGCGATAATGTTGAAATTCACACCAGGCTATCTGGCAGCAGATTACCCCCG